CCTGCATAATTCTCTGGCAGTCTGTGTTTCTCGGAGGTGATTAGCCAACATCGGGCCTCAAAGGTTATCACCTTTGCAGACATTAGGTTTTGCAGACAGGTTGTTGCTGAGGTAAAAGAATAACTCACTCATTTAGGATAAGTGCCTAGGCAGGTGAGCTTCTTCGAGACTTACAGCCTTAATGTTAGTCATTCCTAAAAGGCCATTGTTCTAGGTGTATGTGGAGAATTCCATAGAAATGAATAGGGATTCTAACCCATATTAAATGTGTTGAGAAGAGAAAGAGATTATTGACTTTGGATTCAAGCTATCAATTTCTCAGCCAGGTGGTGGTGGCTCACGCCTTTAATCCCAGCACTCGGGAGGCAGAGGCAGGTAGATCTCTGTGAGTTCAAGACCAGTCTGGTCTACAAGAACTAGTTCCAGGACAGCCTCCAAAGCTACAGAGAAACTGTCTTGAAAAACCAAAATAAATAAATAAAATAATAAAAGTAGATTCAAGCTATAAATTTCTTAAGAGTTACATTTTTTTTTTTTGGTTTTTCGAGACTTACATTTTTTAAGACAATGAAAAGTGTTTTCTGTGTTAAATAATAAACCTCAAATTTCCTATGAGTTACAATATTATCTATTGTAAGCTTCCAATCAGCTCCATGGAATGGGAAGTGTGATTATGTCTACTTCACTGTTAAGGAAAAGGAAACAATGGGAATGTATGGAAATTGAAGAATTTTTTGTAGCTGTAACTTGGATTCAAACCAGGTCCTCTAACTTTGGCAGCTATGCCCTTGTTGTCTAGAGTGAACTTCTTCCAAAGTGAGCCTTTATGAACAGGTTGTATGTAAAGGGATGACACGGGGGATATGCTGTATCCCATTTGAAGTAAAAGGGATGTCCTAGGAGGGAAAGAAAGCCTTGCTTTAATCTTCTAAGGCAAACAAGATAGCAGCAATGCTGCCTGTAGGTACAAAAAGCTGTGTATACACTGAAAATCAGTATTTAGACACCATATCTTTAAAAATGTATTAGTTCTTGGATTTTAATAATTACTGCTCAGCATTGGAAAAGTAGCTTATTCTCAGCATGATATAAAACATTTAAAACACTTCTAAAAGCTATTTGAAAGAATTGTTAAATAGCAACCTAAACCATGTGTGAGTGGGTGTGTTTTTACACGTACTGATCACTTTTATTCTGTATTATGTGTTTCCTTAAGACACACATTTCCAAAGTTTACTTTCTATTGTAGAGAAAAGCATTCCTGTTCCCAGCAATTAATGACGGGCACAGATGATTCTATCTTTGCAGGTCAGTGAACAGTAATTACCAAAGAAGGAAGCTGGGTTGTCAGGCTGTGACCTCCACTTGACTCAGCCTTTCTCTCACTCACAGAACACAGGCTGTCCATAACCAACCACACAGCAAAGGATGCCATGCTGTACCAACAAATATTTGTTAAAACGTAGGGTGTCAAAGCAGTTTTTTTTTTAAAGAAAGTAGCCAGTAATGGAGTATTAATTAGAAGCCAACAAAATGGAATCATATCGGTCTAGCTTGCCAAAGACATTACCTGTGTGTCAAAAGAAGCGTTTGTGAGCAACATGCTGGGATTGCATGCCAATGATCTGAGCAGGTGGTCATTAGAGGCTTTTGCTGCTAGCCAGATCATTTTCTCCCTGAATAGCTTGGTGAGGTCCAGGCACTAATTTCTCCCCGAATTAAAAATTATCCCACACCGAATTGCCAAGGTACCTGTCTGCTATGCCAAGGAAGTGTCGCAACAGGGTTTTCTCAGGCTGCAGAGGATTTGCCAAGCTCGCAGTCTTTCAATTTGTCTTATTGGGTAAACTCAGAATATCGGCTTTATTGATTCAATTTGAAATCTCCGTTAGGAGCCTTATTCGTTCCTTACAAACAGCATAATTGAAAGCATTGTTTTGGTAGAATCTTCTAAGAAGACCACATAATCACCATTTAAATTAGCCCTAATTCATTTTACATTTGCTTATTTTACTCTCCCAGAACTAATTTTTTTAAACAATTAGAACATCTGAATTTTAATTACATTACCATCAAGAAGCTCATTAAAGTCACTTAATTGGCAACATTTCCAAAAAAACCTTAGCTGGGTTTAATATATTTTAAAGAGTTACTGTCAAAGTATAATTTCACCATTACAAACAGCTTGGCAACAACATTTGCATAAAGATCTGTCAGCTTCTGAAAAAATGCTTAAATGTTGGGAAAATCAGATTCGTTAAGTCGCCTTTACTGAAACAGCTTACAAATGGAGAAACTGTGACATGCACTCATCTTTAGTAACCCCTGAAGTGCACACACTGTGCCAACCCAGGGAAGGGCTCCTTGAAGGAAATAAATAATACGCTTTGTACTCTGAGGTAGATTTTTTTTAAAAAAAATAAGACGGCAGTAGACTTTCCTTCATTTGTGTTGAGTTTAACCAAATTTCCCATGCACCTGCTTCTGTTTCCTCACTCTTTCTAAGAAATATTGCGTTATCATTTAAAACTTTGAAACCTTGACAAGTAGTTAGCGGGCCAGGTCCACGGGGGAGGGGTTGAAATATTTTTTTACACACTTTTACGATTTCCTCTTATCGTGTATGAGGATTTTGTTTTTCTTTTAGTCACCCACAGTACGTAAAATAGTGATTTGTGTCTGTTAGTGAATGAGCTGATGAAAAACTTGGTTGTGGTAGGTGGATACTTTGTGATGTGCACTCCAAATAATCCAAGAGTAAAATGTGGAAAATAGAAATGTTACTATGTTAGTCTTTTTTTTTGTTGTTGTTTTGTTTTTAAAGAAAAGAGGTACTATTTTCTAGAAGTATCCTTTTAATCTGGCATTTTCTACTTAGAATAGCTCTCATTGTTGTTTATAGTCCTTCTATTCTCCCGTGCCCCAAAGAGAATCTAGTGGAGCAGGATAAAATGTAAATATTAAAGAATCTCCAGTCAAATTCCTGCCTTTCCCTCCTCAGAGTATGGCAATGTCTGGTACACAGCCAGATTCAGCAAATGTCTGTTGAATGAACCAGTCAATGAATGAACGAGTGTACAGTCAAAGCCCCAAGGAAGACCTAGATGTTTCTTCCTAAAGGGTCAGGCTAAGCGCCATCAAAAGTGATGCAGGACACCTCCTTCTCCCACGAGAAGAGAGGTATGATTGTAATGAACTGTTGGTGAGAATCCTCCGTTATAGTGCGTTGTAGGATTCAGGCCATGGAGAGTGCTGTTCATGACATATGGCTGTTCGTTACTGTTCTCTGTGCTGATGTCAGAAGCCTAAATCTACACATCTCCCACGTTACCTACTACTCCTTGGGGAAAGTATGGTTAAAGTATATTTTAATTTCATCTAATTTTTAATCATTTGGATTAAGATAGCCACAAACGGCTAGTGGCTACCCTAGACTCTCTCTGTGTGGTGAGACGTGAAGGAATATGGAATATTAGGAGAAATTCAGTTCTTATGGAGTTCTTATTGGAGAAAGGTTAGGAGAAGTCTGCATGGGAAAAATTGAGAAAGGATCGTGTGTCCACGTGCTGTGCAGTTGAGGTAAAGATTAATTTGTAAATAGGGGACTCCCTGGAGATGTCTAAGTAGGGAAATGACCTGATAGAAGTTGTCTTTTGGAAGTCACTTCTGTGTGCCCAGAAGCAAAGGTCTGAGGCTCAAAGTTATTTCTGTACATTAATATAGAAACTGGCTTTTCACATCCCACAAAAATGTGAAACTCAACTTGTTGATGTAACAAGGTTTCTGATAGACATCCTGTTAGTAAGTCTTAGGCAGAGTACCACAAGGAAATGCCTATTGGTTATTCTCTCCTCCCAAGCTGATAAAGGATAAGACCCTTCTGGGCTTGCTTCAGAGGCTGTGCTGTGGGGAACAGATACTCAGGGGGCCTCATTCTCTGTGGTCCAGGACATCAGCTTCTTTGTGTGGTGAGAGACAATCTTATGGAGGTATGAAGGGGCCTTCCAGCTCTCCATCTACTCTGCAGCCCTGTCGCTGGGGGAGGTGAGACTGGGTGGCCAGAGTGAGAAGCATCTTTCAAAACTGGGCAGCAGAAAGGATTTTGGGTTGAGGATTGTTTCATGCTCTGGAAAAAAAATGGTGACCTGTGAACCTTCAAGTACCTGTTCTTCACTTGGAGTGGGTCTTCCAGCTGTAAAAATGAGAGGAGGTTCTGAGGGTGTGGAACCTGTACCCAGAAAGGAAGACTTAATTTTGGGGGAGGGGTGGAGTACCGAGGGCAATCCAGAGCTGGGAAGCATAAATGAGATGCCCTCTCAACAGTGCTGAGTGGATGCTTCCAAATTCATTCCCGCTTATCTGCTGGTGTTCTGGTGTGGCAATCACAGAGATGGCAAACTACCCAGAGTTTCTAATCGATGATGGGCATTGTAGCTCTCTATTTTCCGAAATGAACTTTAGAATGTAAAACGTCAGAGGTAATAGATAGGTATATAGATGTAAATTGTTCTTGTTTAGATATCGTTGACAGTTTTATTTTTGTTGGTTTAACTTAGTAATTCAGTAATCTGAGGTAGAGTTTATTACTAATTCTATAGAAATTCAAAGTCATATCACTTCCAGTTTTAATGTATTTCTTAAAAGGAGCTTGGATTCAAAAGTCTGACTTTACCCTTATCAACATTAATTGGCAGTGCTTGAGAAATTTTTGGAATTAAAGTTAGTAAACATTTTTTAGAGGGACAGCAGAAAGTGAGGACTTCTCAGATTCGATCACTGCATGTGCAGAATGGTGCCTTCCTGTACTCTGTGCTATGTGTCCCAGTATTTGGGGTTCTCATTACAACCCCCTCCCCCGGCAAACTGCATCTAGTTTATCCTCCTCTATGAACACCAAATTAGTCAATTATTTTTCCCATAGAAGTCTTTTTCCACAGTACAGCACAGAGCCTGAAATTAGCGTCCACAAACGACAAGACATCACTTGAACTTCTGACTTTATTTCACCCCAAGTGAGCAGGAGATAAAACCATTGTGTCCAAAGTGAGATGCGTGGCTCCCTTCTTCTCTTCTTTCACAGAGTATAAGAAAATGTAAACAATATTGAGCTTGAACTTCGGAACCCTCCTTAATTGTTAGCGGCCTTTCCAATGTTCATGGTCCACGTCATCCACGCGAAACTCCCAGACTGGCTAGTACCCGCCTTGGTTCAGTCGGATAAAGAAAAGCATTGTTTGAGGAAGTGGGTCATGTGGATGTATAAGTGGTTGGTGGACCCGCGAGATGATAGGCCGTGGTTCTGGTCCGAGTACCACTGCAACACAAAGGAGAGAGGCAGGTTTTACCCCTGGAGCTACGGAACATGTCTCGCTTTGGCTTTCTTGGACTGTATAGTCACAGGAAGTTTCCTAATATTTTTGGAAGATTCTTTGAAGAACCCTTGAATAATACAATTGTTTGTAAGCAAACCTTGGGAGCAGGAAAACGTAGAGTTCTTATCAATATCCAGTAATGTTTTATATATTTTTTTTTTTAACTGTAGGTTTTACATTTTAAAGGATGAGCTCTTCTAACGGCCAGCATCCTGGGGATTAGAACCAAGAGTCTTGGCTCCCAGAACTGGTACATTAGGTCTGTTACTTTGGTTTTTGGCACTTTTGTTTTTCATGTGAAAAGTAAAAACAGTGTATTTAATTTTCCCTAGGATCCTGGTAGCTCAAAAGTTCCACAAGCTTTTGGCCTGTAAATCTAATTCTCTTTTTCAGAAAAATTCACCATGTAGTCTGTCACAATAACATAAATCCCTTTTATAGAACTTTAAAACACCATTGTAACAGAAAAAAAGGGCAATAACATAACTTAAAACTTCCTTGTTGGAGGGATTGCAGTAGGATAATTGCCTTCATTGCTTAAAGGTGGCAAAGGCCATGATGCAATATTATAAATTTCCCTAGGTGAATATTTTTTAGGAAGTCACAATAAACAAAGGCCACAAAACCTTATCTCACTTCTGGTAAATTATATTTTAAAAATACAAACTTCTAAAAGCTGAGGAACTCCCTTTCTGGAGTCCTGTCCAATACAAGCAATTGAGGGAGAAAATACATTTATTGAAGCAGGGACACCCCGGCTACCAATCTCTACTGTCAGTCTTGGCCTCATTGCCTTCTCTGATCCCATTCTGCATTCTTCTAGCAACCTGGAATGCATGTGCCAGGTCCTGAGCACAGACAGATGAACGGATTCTCTGGCTGAATGGAACTGTGGAAATTCACTGAGATTCTGGGAACATCTTGCAATTGCTTCTTACTGAATAAACAGAACCTTTTAGCTGCTTTGCTACTCCTAGGTTCTGTAGGAACTCTGATGCACCTACACCTATGCACACAGGACTTCAGAACCATTGCATATTTGAGCTGTTCAATCTTGCAAATTACCTTATTTTATATGATTCAGGCCAGTTTATATGGCATAGGTGGTTCGACTCTTGAGGGAATTCAGAAAAAAAGTCTATGATTCATTTACTAATACTCTGCTTTTTCTACTCACCAGCTGTGTTTTTCCCCCAGATTTGACTAAATAAATAACTATATAAATATATATGCAAGACCCCTGTCTCTTAGCATAGTAGTCAAAGGTCATGAACAAGGGTAAAACGGAATCACGTACCATGGCCTGGAAATCCACTTGTGCATTAACCAAAGCTTTAGCAATCTGTGCTGAGTTCTGGAAATGCACATTATCTGCAACAAAGAGAGAGCGAGAGCAAGAGAGAGAGAGAGAGAGAGAGAGAGAGAGAGAGAGAGAGTTAAAGTGCTGCTAAATACCAGAAAGCCTAGAGTGACAATGTACTGCCTGGAAATGAACACCGACAATTATCTAGTCATGCATTTGACATTGTCAACAGCGAGCAATCACGCTCAGCTATGGAAATGTCCCTGACTCTTAGGTACTGACCCTGAGCGCAGGCATAGGAAGATGCTTAATGTTTCTTAAACAAAGTGATGCTGGCTCAGTATTTTTATGTGTAAGAGTCTTGCTTAAACCTCACCATCTGCTGTTCCGTGGATGAGAAGATAGTCTACATTTCTGAAATATTCTGCTCTTGCCATCACAGTTGAATTCTGGAAAAGAAGAAAAATTAACATTTTAGTTGCTGCAAAGTTCTAATAGAAAACTAGCTAAATCATTGTGCAATGGACTTCGCACCAATACTGAAATTATGTATTGCTTTGGTTGATAAATATTTAAGAGTCAGAGCAACACATTTTCATCATCATTTGCATTACTTCCATCTGATTCTTAGTTTGAAAAACTGAAAGTTTATGTGTCATATGTTACATATGAGTGAGACCTTAGGCATAAATGATGCCCGCTCAAGCTGTGTAGGCGTTGGGGGTGGGGAGGGGAGATGAGAAAAGGGAGGTTAGGGAAAGGAGCATGGCGAAAGAATAGAATCCCCAAAGAGCAGCGCTTCATTCTAGTGATGCGCTCCAGTTTAACAAAAGATCATAATTTTTCCCTGGGGATCCAGAACTGATTCTGCAAAACTCTGAATCACTGTTTTAGAATGACTTAACACATTCGAAATACATTAGTGGCCTAGATACAATGGGAAACGCTTACTTTATAGTGCGCGAGATTATCATCCTTTGTCGGGAGGCCCATGAATCGCTCTGTGTAGATGGATGCTGTGAAAAGACGCCCGTGTGTGTTATTTCCACTTTCTACATGTCACTTCACAACCTTACGAAACTCCTACATTAGCTACAGTGCCCTCGTCCTCCCACGAGGAGTCTTTGAGGCGAGCTCTTGTTTTCCTTGCTATCCTGCGTGGCCTCAAGGAAGGTGTCCTTTCCGTAACTCACTGAGGCCTGAGAAACAACGCAAAAAAATATTTATGGAAACATGAGCATCTAAGAGTTTCCTTTCACAGGCTGCTCTTAAGCTTTTCCATGTACTCTCCTTGGGGGATTGTCGAGATGGAAACGGCCTCATTTTATTTTAAACTAAAGTGCAAATTCCACCACCTCTGGTTCCTTCACTGGTGTCTTGTTGCATCTGGGATGACAACGTGTCTCCCAAATTTGCTCGACGCAACATCATGCGCACATATTCAAACACACAAACACATACCTTTCTGAATAAAGAATTTTTTGTAAGGCATGAATGTCTCATTTTTACTCCAGCATGAGAGAGTCTAGAAGCTCTTTAAAATTTTGTTTTTGCACGGTTATTAGAGTTCCTTTCAAATAAGCATTCTGCATTGAGGTTAATCACGAAAACAGGCACACACAGGAATGGATACTTTTCAATTACATGCACATGCACGTGCGCGCGCACACACACATGTATTTTTTTTCTCTTGACTTGTGAAGTAAAGGAGCTGTGCTCCACACTGTAGTGTGAAGGTGAATTCCTTGGCCCCCAGCCTGACTTTGCAAAAGATTTGCTTAAAAGCTGTCATTGCTGGAGTTATGTGCCTTCAAAAACAGAGTTAGCTCTGGTGTTAAAGATTTGCTTTAACAGGGACTCAAAGTTTCTGGGAAAAAATAAGATATACCGGATTTCTGAAGAATCCTTCCTCTTATGATCTTGAAGAGATCTTCTGAACCACTAAAGGTGGTCACAGCAAAATAATAATGAGTTATAGGAATAGCCTCGTTTATAGATTATATTTTTCCCCAGTGATGCTTGGGTGAACTTTAACTACATAATTTGTTTTCCTAGCAACCTCAAATACAGAGTAATTATGTGTTAAATGTTTTCGCGGCAATGTTTATGAAATGTTTCCATACCGTAATATTCCCAGCTGGAGACGGGAGCCACTGCTATCCCACACTTGAAAAGACCCGTTCCGGATGCAAGGGCCAGGGATGAAACATAACCTCCGTAGGACTGTAGAGACATTGTTATTGGTCAGCTCCGAATGCATGCGCAGAAGCTTCTCAGCTGTTATTAAAGCTAACCTACTCACAATAAAGACCGGGGGAGCTGGGAGGGTATGCATAGAGTAATTAAATGCTCACCTTGCACCCCAGAGGCAAGCGCCACTAAAAATTTTATCTCTGATAATAACAGACTCCCTGAAAACAGGGTAGGCAATGTTTAGAAGAAATATGTTATTACAAGGTTTCTATAAAAACACAAAACAAATTGTCCATTTAGATCTTTCTAACTAGGACTTTGTTAGAAAGAAAAAAATAACAAACAAAAACCAAGTTTCTTCTTGAAAGAGATGCATAGAAAAAGAGAATGGTTTCCAAATGCAAAGGTGAGATGCTTTCTGCAGTTCCCAAGAGGCCCATGAGGCAGAACTCGCATCTACGTTTTTACCTCGTTCATTAACAGGGCACAACTGGAGTTTGTGCTATTTTGAGGCATTCTAACACAGCAACTCAAAAGAAGGAAAATTGCTGGTGTCCTTCAAGCCCTTCCATGTCTAACAAATTTCACAGAAAAGTAAAGAAATGCTAAAGGAGACGCGGGGCAGAGCTGGGAGTACTTTAGGTCTCACAGAATTCTTTCTCCAAGTAATCGGTGGGGGGGGGGGCATTTCAGGAACAGCTCTGTGAACAGAATGTGTATGTGGCTTAGCAAGCAGAAGAAATAAATAGGACATCACAAGGGTTTATTTTTTTTTTCCTCTTGGAAAGCAAATCTTGCCTGTACAGATAAGTTTGGAAGAGTTGCTAGTACTGGGTACATGATCTAAGCGGACTTCTAAAAGATGGACAAAAACCAAGGCACACAGGAGATTAGAAAGTCATTCCCTGTGCTTTTGTGGGCCCTGATGCAGGGACATCTGTCCGCATCACATGGGACCTTGTGAATTTCCCTCTGCAGCCATGCAAATCATGCCTCCTCCTAAGCTGTTAGTCTTTAGAGAGGGGTGGGGACAGAGAAGGGGGACAGGAGCAAAGAGGGGCAAGTGGGCCCATTCTTCACCAATGAAATATAAGCTGTGGAAGATGAGCTAAGAATCTCATTGAATTTAACAGTTAAATGAAGAATCCTCTAAGTGGTTTGTGGTTTTGTGTTTCCATCTCTGGGGAATTTTATAGAGGGCCTTTGGCTGCAAAACACAGAATAAAATAGGCTACTCCAATTATACCATGGCCTCTTTTTATTATATTTGGAGGAGAACTAAGCTAGGTTTTAATAGGGGAAAATATATTTTAAAAGCAGAAGGAACATTTTGGTTTTAAAATCACTTTGGTAAGTGAAATTTTCTATATGATTTGAAATTTCACTTATGAAAATAATTTGCTTTAAGTAGTAGGACAGCAAGAACCCGCTCCTGGATAGAAAGGATTTCTTCCCTCTTTAATTTCAATTTCAAATGAAAGCTGAGTAAACTTGAGAGCTTCATCAAACACTATTGTTTATGATTTTATTGGAAAAGAGTATTTACTAAAACAATAACATTGGATATGGACTCTCCTCTCCACGCTTGAGAGCAGAGAATAACACAGCATGACATTGAAATGCCTACTCCGTATCAAAATCTTCTCGGATGTTTGCGTTCAGAACCTCAGGCATTATTAATTTGTACTAACTCAGGAGTGTGTTATAGCACTATGTTTAAATAGCTATTTTCTGTTTTAAGGGTAGAATACAAATATTGTCCAGGAATTAATAATAGCAAAATCTTACTGTATACAGAGCACAGCTAGAGAAGTTTAGGCTTTAAGTGCCCGGGTGGCTGGGAAAAACTATTCCCACTGTACAAATGAAGAGCCGAAAAAAAAAAAAAAAAAAAAAAAAACCACATTGACTTTCTCTGTTCTCTCAGGAGTGTGGGTCTCCTAGGCAGAGTGGGTGGTTACTGTAAGAAAAGAACCCACAGAGCAGATTGGCCAAGAGAATTCTAGAATTGTGTCCTTTGCACTTAGATGCCTTGCCATTTTGTTTAAATGAAGTATGCTTTTAAAATCATTCCTGGAAGGGCACAGAATTTTAAATCAGGGGTATGGGTGTTCTTATTTAAGCTATCATACATTTTGGAACATTTTTTTCCTACCAACAATAACAATAACTAGCTAACACTTGTCTGGCCCAGGAGTTCACTGCGATGCTCTTTGAGGTTCCTCACCATCTGTCCCATCTTTACCCATCCAGCCCCCCATCCCTGCTTTGCCTTTCTTCCACTTTGTTCCTTGGATCTCTTGTTCTTTGAACTCTGGCAATGGCGACTGACCTGAGGACATTTGCCAATCCTGTGACTTCCTGTCTGGCTAGCTCTTTCCCCAGAAAGTGCCTGTCCTCAGCCCCCTTGTTCACTCTTCTTCAGGTCATCGCTCAAATGTGACTTCCAAAGACCTCTGCAGCCATTTTGTTTCAAATCATGCAAGCATACTAGCCCTTCATTATGCTCCTTCCTTCTTCTATTCTGCATTTTTTAGATAGCTCTTACCATTGCTCAACATTTTTGTATTGTACTCATTTACTTTTCTTCCTTTCTCTCCCACTATTCTCCAACTTCATGAGTAGAGACTTTTGCTTGTTTTGCCTATGGATCTATTCCCAACACTGGAAAAAATGGCCTTATAAACAGGAGGGATGTTTATACACATTTTTACTAAAAGTATGATTCCACTGTTATATCCTGTAATCCCCATGGAGACCAGGGGGAGAAATTGTTGATGCATTTCATAATGGAGTAGCTATACCTCAGAATTCATGGTGAATTCATAATGGTGGCATGGTGGAATCAGTAAAAAGCAGAGTTGGGGCTCAAACCTAGACGATCTGTCTTAGCAACCCATAGCATTTCCTGTCTTCCCACACCAGAGAGACTTCTTCTGGAAGAAATAATATAGTCTAACGTGGTCTCTTATTAGAAGTGTATTCATCCTACATTTACATCCTTCTCACATAGCAATTCAAATTGCTTATAATTAGTCACTGCAAGAGAAAGGAACTAAGATTAAATAATGAACTGATGCTTATTCAACACCACCTGGCTAGGTCTATACTAACAAAGCAATGCCTGAAAATGTAGCTTCTTTTTCTAATAGTTTAGGCAAAGCTCTCTCTGCTCCTGAACAGTAAGAATATTGCTTCAATTTTTTCATTGCATTCAACATTTTAAGACTACTGATGTTATAAGCTTTCTTCCGCAGTGCTGAGCATTTCAACCTCACCCTGTTCTCTGTCCCACATGCTAATAGCCTTTCTTCAGAGCAAAACCCTAACGTGTCTCTAAGGACTGCCAAATGTCCCAAGGGCAAAATCACTTCTTAACCACCATGATAGAGACATAACAGATATTTAACAACCACCTAAAATGAGGGTTATAAATCTTTGGTTACATAATCCAGTTCATAAAAAGTGGTGTTGAAAGTGCCTCTCTTTCTGTCTTTAAGTCCATATCTTGGAAGAAAATATAGGATTTGAAGCTTATTTTACAAACCAGTTGTAAATAGTATTAGCTGGGTTGGCCATGACCTATTTGACAGGCGGCAGAAATACTTACTATTACCCAGAAAAAAGATACCTTTCTTCCTGATATGAAACATTAACACCAACCTTTTGACTTAGTCTGCAAGGGAAAAGGCTATGGCCTCTTTCCAGTGCCTGCCTCTCTGGCTAACTGCAGGCCTTTGCAATTTGTGCCCAGTTTTATCATTTCAGATCCCTTTTCGATCCTCAAAGTGCCTTCTAGTCTATGGCATTATCTTTCTAAGACACCTGTACAGGGGTATTATTAATGACAACAGCTCTTCTCATAGAGATATCCATGAAATCATATTTTTTCATACTATCAATATGTGCTTACGGAAAGAGAAGGCATCAATAATTGTGGAATAAAATATTTTTTGTGCTAAACAAAAAAGTTTAACAATTCTTTACTAGTCTTTCATGGAGACTAAACACACTACTCTTAATAAACGTCTATTTCCCAAACTGTTGGACTATAGAATATTTTCCTGGAAAAAAATCTCCTGGTATGAGTGGGACAATTTTGGGGAGAACATTAAGGTATAGGATTAATTTTGAGACCCATTTCACTCTCTAGGCATCCTCAAGAGAATGTGGCTAAGAAGGTCAAAGGGTGGATTCTGCTTCTGTTGCCTTGCTAAATGGACACGTTATCTGACTTTGCTTTAAAAATGATGTTTATGCCCACACATTAGCACTGCTCCCTGTGGTTTTTCATAAAAGCCACTTTTGCAGTGGGCAATAATTAATGAGGAGACTAGTGAGAATAAGTCCTGAAAATAAGGGCAAGTAAGTGACATTTATTACTTCCTTCAAGGCTCAGAGAACGCTGTAGATTGGATGAGAAGACAGAAAGAATTTAAAGAGACCAAAGGCACAAAAAAGTTGTTGATGTGGAAGTTGTGTTCAGTTACTCAAAGTAACTGCAGTTAACCTGAACAAGATCTGCACAAGATCAGGTCTGTCAGCATTTTCATCATACATGGAGAGGGATTCAGGAAACCTCACTCTCTGTGGGGTGATTGGCAGTTAATAACTGCTGGGGGAGGAGAGTCATTTATTTAGTGGTATAGTCACTGAAATATTGCCCATGTTATATCCTAGTAAACACGTGTCCACAACTCACGCTAGTGCAACAACCTTAATAAAAATCAGTGAGTCAAAAGCAAAAAAAAAAAAAAAAAGAATAACACCAAAGAAAAAAACCCAATAAGCAAAACCATCTCAAAGATCATGCAAGTATGAGGAGGGCTTGTTGGGAAAAGGTTTTGGAGGTAGATGGTAGGAACAGAGAGAGGGTAATAAAGGGTGTAAATGACCAAAGTTCATATATGAACATTGGTCATATAAATAGTGTGTGTGTATGTATGTGTATTATATATAATGTATGTATGTAATATACCATATGCACAATTGTGAAGTACTAAAAAACAAAAAATATTAGAATGGCAATATTTCAAATAACATTGGAATTTGTGCGGCCTAACCAAAGTTGTTAGTTAAGAAACAATTAAAATTACTTAATTAGAAACTGCCCAGCCTGAGAGCATAGACCAGAGGCATCAGCATTTCCTGGAATCTGCTCAGAAATGGAATCTCTGAGCTCAAATAGACTCTCTGATGGTAAGGAACTGGACACTGTGTTTTAAGAAGTTTTTTGGGGGATTATACTCAGACACCTTACATTAGAGAAGTTCTGGTTTAATGACACATGAAGAAATTGAAATCAAATAAGGTCATTGCAGATGGCAGTCACTACTTAGCCATTAGAAGTGGAAAAATAATTCACTAATCAAGAGAATGTTGAGCTTAGAGAGATTAAAGGTAGGAAGTAACTCTTCTGAGCTTTCTAATTTGGGTGACTCGGTAGATGAGGGTCTTCAGTGTTGATGAGGGCTTGTTTTAAGATTAGCTTGGAGTAAATGAAACTTGAAGCCCATGAATGTCATATCCTAGGTTTGTGGGTTAAAATCTGGGTCTTCTACTCTATTGAATGTCATCTCCTGAAGGAGAGATACCTGGTAAGCTGCTGAAGTATAAGACTCAGAAGAGAAGTGAGTACAAATGGCCAGCCATCATCTTTGAAACCACAGAGTTTGCTCCAATGGTTTACAAAATATTGATGTATGGGTTACGGCCACACTCAGAAACATACTAACATTTAAGGAACTTATAGACTGCTGTGGTCTCAGAGGCACAAATTGTAAAAGGCCACACACATTCCCTTTCATGTGGCCTAAAAGGTCCTGGTTACTTCATGACCTACTTCTCCTGACATATCTCCAAACTTCTCTTCATGATTCTTTAGACTTTCAAAGTTGAACATATTCTTGATCAACTCAAACATGCATCTTTGCTTTATCAAAACCAGGATAAATGTGGTCTTCACATTCTCAAATGCTCATTTACTAAGCTATTTTTGCCCATCAAAGACTCTGACTCACTTCTGACGTCTCTATTAGCTCTCACAGGCACAATTAACCTCTTTTCTTTCTGTTGTTTTGTACGATGAGTTATAAACCATTGCTTTCGAATTTTGCCCGTATGAGGGTCAAATCTGTACCTTATTCACCCTTTTGTCCACAAAGAAGTTAGCATGAGGGCTGAGGATGTGATTCTGTTGGTACAGAGCTTGCCTAGCAGGTGTGAAGACCAAGTTAGAGCTCTAAGACCACATAAAAATGGGAAAGCAGTGCACGTCTGTCATCCCAGCACTTGGGAGGTACAGTCAGGATGATCAGAAGTTCCAGGTCATTCTCAGATATATAGGCAGTTGCAAGTTAAGCTGAGATGCATGAGACTATGTCTGCAAAAAGAAAATAAATTGCTTAACATAAGACCTAGTTGAGATATAATGGAAATTTACAAGGATGAAGGGATAGATGAATCAGAGATCAGAAATATGGGCTATTAAGAATGGAGTTGTGCAAAACTCGAAGAACAGGTACAAAAGGAGATGTAGTATTATATCTTTTTGCACCTTGTTTTCTCTAGCTGACTGGGGCCTCTTAAGCATGGCAGGCAATCTACTCCTTGCTGTCTCCTTTTGAACATGCTCACAGTCTGCTTCATGGTAACTGCCATGCGAGAACGTAAGCAGTGCCGGGAGACGAACAGATTTATGTCTTTGACGGCATTGACACAATCCGGTAGGGTAAGAGTCTCTTATTGAAGGAGTCTGGGCTGATACGGATGTACTGAGGGGCGATGTGTGGGTTTTCAATCATCCCACATAGAAGAGTCTCTACCAAACTAATCCATAACCATATTCTATAAATGAAATGGAAAGTTCTAACTTATGGTTACTCAGAGCCTGCAGCAAAATAAAAGCACAGTTCTAAGTAAAATGTTAATGATTTTGTACAGTATTTGCTTAAAATGAGACTCTGTCAAAGACTGACTTTAGGAATTTCACAAAAATGGGTGCTAGGAAAGATCTTATCTGAAATATTCCCCTATAAAAATATTTCACTTGTTTTTACCCATTTGAATCCCAACTCTGTTTAGATACGTAACGTTAGATAGTTTTGAGAAGGACAAATTGGCTTGAAATAACAACTTTCTCCAAATTCCTAACTCTTTTTCTTCTGGCCACTGAGCTGGGAGTTCAGCTGGATCCTGCAGGTCCCTCTCCATGTGTGTCTCATTCCGTCCATCTTGTGCAGGCCTCTCTCAGAGAAATCAGCCAAGAAAAACAACCCAAGCTCACCCGACCACAAACTGACTTTCAAATGTACAAATTCAGACCAAAAGGTAAAGCAGGCAAACTTCTCTGAAGGGTAATTATCATCATTTGTAATGGGCAAACCTAAACTCTTTTTACTATTTCTCTAGAGTGTCTTCACCAGTGACTTCACGACTCACGACTAATCACTTCTGCCACTCATTTTTGTGTTTATTTTCAATAAATACATCACTCCTAAAACATGGGAGGGAGTTCCATATCCATAACCAGTATCTAGGTAGCCAAATAATGCTTCTCTTCAAGTTAGCAAAAGTTCATATTGGGTCTACTAGGAGAATCTGATTGTCCAAAAAGAGAAAAATGTCAAACAGCCCTGGTAGGACTACACTGAGCTAAATAAAATGCTCTGAAAGTTTCTATAATTTCATACTTTAACTCAGCTTTTCATCAAAATGAAACATAAAACATACAATAGCTATTAAATTCAAAATCAGAGAGGCAGTCAAACCTTTGATAGGCATAGTTCTGTTTGGTATGTTATAATTCAGCACCAAAAATTAAGTAAAAATATGTCAATTATGAGTTCATTTGTTATACAAAGAAGAAATTGAATTAAAGAAAGGAACAAACACTTAAAACCACCACTTCAGGGCTGATATTATCCAAATTGACTGTTTCTATTGACAGATTAAATTATGTTGCAACACTGACATTTCATGAAAAACCTTCTAAGCGAACACTTCAGAAAACGAGGATTACCAAACTGAATAACAGGCAGGGAACTTATAAAACAACTCACCCAGCCCCATATGGCTATTCTTTTTTCATCAATGAAACCCATTTCTATGAATTTTCTAAAGTGAAAGAAACAAATTTTTAGAATTTTAATTGTGTACACATGACATTTACTTCATTATACAAGCATTTTTAATCCAAAGATTTAATAGAAACGCTTCATTTCTTTGTTTAAACACGTGCATAATAAGGCTGCATTTACAAATAAGTAAAATAAAAGTATCATGTTTTCTGCAGAGAATAAAAGGATCATTTTAGGCTCTGTTCTTTATCTGCAGCGATCCCAGTGCCCTCAGGAGATTAAACCTTGTTTGAACCTTTTTTGTCAAAGCCTGTCCTCAGATTGCCTCATTAGAACACAATGGCTCCACTAAGAAGTACCTAATTTCCCAAATCCTTGGGTCTTGGAAGGATTTTTGTTTCATTTTGATTCAATTTTTAATACATTTGTATCACCTTATTTGCTTAGTTGTTGATACTCATTTTGATGTTAAGTCCTATTCAGAGGACAAAAAACAACCATCCTTCTTGACATTCATAAACAGGAGTCTCCAATTTACCATTGTATGGACAATTGTGTATTGTAATTAGGAACAATTCAAATGTTGAATTGATTTGCTTGGCTCCATCCCATTTCCAAGAAGTTTTGAAAACATTCTTTTCCTCGGGAATAATGAACTATAAGATAAACAACCTTTAAAAGTCTCAGGAAACATCTAGTCAACACAAAGCAAGGCATGCTGGTCACTTGTACCTCAATTCCCCAGTATAAAAGAGAAAATGAGATTTATTTGGGGGAATAGGTTGATAAAGCCTAAATACAACTTTAGAAACAGAGAGAAGCAAGAGAGATAGGTGTGATGGGAGTGGGCGGGCTCTAGAGAATGACACAGCAGGGGGAAGAAGGGAACCCAGAGACAGCCCCAGAAAATACAGCGGTGTGGCCTCTGGTTTCTGTTAATGGCTTTGTCTGCTATCCAGAAGTGGAGAACAAGTGTGTTCTGTTAGTTGAATAATGGGCTCTCCTTTTCTTTTGTTGTTCTGGGCATAGAACCTAGGTCTTTAGGTATCCTATGCTAGCGCCCTACCTCTGAGTTCTTTTTGCCAGCTCTGTAGAGTTACTTAAAGGGATTTTATAGCAACCATTTTTCTCATTGCATCGACTCAGCATGCACGTTTCTGACGAATTGAGGAGTTGGGCAAATGCCCGGGACAAACAGATGGGAAGAGGCCCCGTTAGTCACAGCTTACCCGACACGAATTCTGAAGGACACTGAGTGTACAGGGAAGAAACGGAGTAGCAAATGGAAAATTGCTACCTGAGTGGAAGCTGATCAAGGGAAAGCGAGCAAGAACGCAAAAATATGTGGCCCTCCAGCCATTCTCACGCAAATTTCAAAACCCAAATGAGGGACGAGAAGGTTCACTTTCTTGTTTTAAAAAAATATATATAGTTCCGCTACTGGTGTTGGAAGATGGCCCTGAGCCATAAAATTGCTCAGGATTTTATGATCTCCCAGAAGCTAACAATCATTCTGCCTTGCATCTGGGGCACAAAGCAAATAACAGGTGATCCATGGGAGCAGGAAATTCTTATCCGTGCCCTTCCTAGGTGTATTCTGAAAGGATGACATTTACAGGAAATGATAGGAGCAGTGGTTAACATGGAAATGAAACATTAACACTTAATGTGGCAGGACTAGGTTAAAGGTTAGCTAGATAACACGAGCCTTTTGAGATCAACAGGGCTCTGTAAATTTCATTTCCAAAATCTGAAAAGCTTCCTGGAAGGTTATCAGAAAGAACTGATAATATGGTACTATCAGCACAGTCGTAGTAACAAATCTTAGAGGTTGAACTGAACTTCCATTTTTTTTTTACACATGAAAAGGACTCTCAGCTAAGTCATCTTGAATCCTAGTGATCAATTTTACTATTTGAGAAACTTTCTCTTTGATGCCGTCTATAAGTGTGATAATATATTTTTCTCTTGTAATTTTTCACCATTAACCCTTAAATTACATAAAATTAGAACTATGAGAATATAAACAATGCCAAGAGACTCAAAATATGTGGAACTGCCCCTGTAATTTCAAAAAATTTATGATTTTCTTTAATGTAACATTTTCCAAGGAGCCTGAGGAAGTCATGTTCCTTCTTCACCAGAGCTTGTCTTTAGAAGCATTCTCACGCACAGACAAGCCGTGAGGTCGTATTTGTCACGTCTTCTTCCATTTTTCACTTTGTTTAAACTTATTATCTTGGCTTGGCTCACATTTGCTTCTGTCTCAAGTACACATATATGGTTTTTCTGTTCATAATTCACCTATGTCAATTTTATAAGAGATTCAAGAAAACATTTCATTTCTGGGGTTATTTGACAGTGGCAGTCAAGGGCTTACAAACCCATTTCCTCGGGTCTGGGTTTGGTGTGTGATTTCTAAAACACTTAGAGAGAGAGAAGGAGTTGGGTCATCCTTGGGATCATTATTTTCTCCTCCTTAACTTTTCCTTTTTTTAGGGATCGGGTTCAAAGGCCTCATTTACATGTTCATGAGACAGAGATTTCAAGCAAAGCCAAGGCCAGAGCTGGAACTCTCTCTACTGTAGGATGTGTTGCTTGAACGGGCCATGCAGCCACTCTGTTCACTGAGGAGTTTGCTCAAAGTTTCATCTATAAGTAGTGCTGTCCCCATAGAATGCAGGCCATTTGTCCATGCTTACCAGATTATAAATGCATTGAAAGGCAGGACTGCAAGTTGCACCATTTTATACAGAATGTAGTGTTAAAATTTGGGGTGCCTCCCAAGGTCCAAATCAGGAGCAGAAGGAGACGGAGCACGAGCAAGGAACTCAGGACCACGAGGGGTGCACCCACACACTAAGACAATGGGGATGTTCTATTGGGATCTCACCAAGGCCAGCTGGCCTAGGTCTGAAAAAACATGGGATAAATCCGGACTAGCTGAACATAGCGGACAATGAGGAATACTGAGAATTCAAGAACAATTGCAGTAGGTTTTTGATCCTACTGCACGTACTGGCTTTGTGGGAGCCTAGGCAGTTTGGATGCTCACCTTACGAGACCTGGATAGAGGTGGGCAGTCCTTGGGCTTCCCACAGGTCAGGGAACCCTGATTGCTCTTCGAGCAGATGAGGGAGGGGGAATTGATCGGGGGAGGGGGAGGGAAATGGGAAGCGGTTGTGGGGACGAGGCAGAAATCCTTAATAAATAAATAAATTTAAAGTCAAAAAACAAAAACAAAAAAAAAAAAATTTGGGGTGCCATTGTTAAAGAGCTGAACACATGGGTGGCTGTATGCTCACCCTATTTCAGGGAAGCTTTCCCCAGGTTCTGATTGAGAAAAAAAAGTTCAGGGAAGGTAATGGCTACCAGTGTCTACCTCTGGCATATCTGCAATTAAGTACCAAAGACAAGTTGGTATTAATGCAAAACTGATAGAAGGTAAAACCTGTGGCTCTATGTTCTCTATATTGAATGCTAGAAATAAGAATTTTCATTAAGATCTTCGCATGCGCTTCAGATCTATGCTTTTACTTCCCTCAATAGAGGAAATTAAGATTTCCTTTTTTTTTCTGAGTACTGTATTTGTGATGGTAAATCAATGCCTTAAGTACCACGACGTATTTTGTTGGTGGTGGACTATATGATTGATTATTTTAAGCCAAAGCCAAAACAAGCACCCTTCTAGGCCTATCCATCCTAAGAGACAGTTAAAGAAGAAACAATGATTTGTAATTTTTATCTCCATGCCTTTGGGAAGTCTTTGGTTTAAATTTCCATGGTGTTTTTCATTGTTTTAAATATTAATAGATAATGCCCTAGATGCACCTCTAACAAAACACCTGAAGAATTAAAGCCAGAACGCTGACAAATGTGCTCATACTCTTGACAGGACACACCATTGTCTGGAAAAGCTAAGCTGAGGATTTAGCTCAGTGGGTTAGTGGCTGATTAATATTTACAAGGTCCTGGGCTTGGAGTCCAATGCTGCAAAAATAAAAACAAACATACAAAAGCAAAATACAAAGTTCTCTGTTACCCCAGAGGAGTTCATTTTGAATCATTTCTCCACTGGACAAAGTTTTTCCAAATAAATTAATAGTAAAAATGTCAAAAATCTGGATCAGTGAAAATCATGCAGCCTCCAAGAAGTGAGGGGCTAATTATAGATTTTGGTTTAAAAATTTAGTCATTAATTTACTCTATTTTATTACAATTGAATGCTTTAATTGAACATTTTATCCGTGCATAAATGACTAGTCATTGAAAGGAAGAAACATTGGAATCTATGAGTCATGACTGCCTTTCTATTCTTAAAATTAGTTACACATGAATCTAAACTTTTCTGCTTTGATTAGAGTCAGAAATACAGAAACAGGTGCTGTCTGGGTCTTTATCCTAGCTGTTAAATATAATCTCTTTTGCATATGTTGATTAATATTGCTAATAACAATAGCACTAAGGGGATAACAGAAATATTCTTATTAAATTTTCTAAATTGCTCTTTCTTCTGAATAGGTGTTCAATCATAAATTGTTGCATGGACAAAATCATCTGTGTCTATGAATGCAATCAGCCACTTAGCCCATCGCTTTTAGACTGATAAGCTCTTACTTCCCCGCCTGCTCACATTATAGCAATGGGAGTCCGGGGAAACCCTGTATAGTGTCCCCAGGGCAGCAGCAGTTTTACTGACATCCTTTACGATTCAAGAAAGATGGAGGGATCATAAAGATGGTGGTTAGAAATTTAGCTGGGGATGAAGGGGAGGGCAGAGGTAGGGAGGGGAGCAGAGAAAAATGTAGAGCTCAATTAAAAAAAAAAGAAATCTGGCTGGAGGAGAAGAAATTAGATCTGCCTTCCTTCCAAATGCTCTTATAATAATATTTCTATTATATCAAAACAGGAGCTTTTTGTCAAAGGAAAATTGGCATATACCTTCATGCTAGCATAGCAAAAATTGACAGCAAGTTTTATCACAAGTGAATTCCCAACACCTAGAACTTGTAGTGCGATGAAAATCTGATTCGTTTCTAAACTAAAGAGTAGGACCAACAATAACTGAATACCTTTGGATATTTGATTTCCTGAAGATTATTGCTAAAGTTATGTAATATTTTTCTTTTCGCTTTTCCAAATGTGAGCCATGATAATAAATAAAAGTGCTTTGGAATGTTTCACATCTATCCAGTATTTTTTCTTCACGTTTATTAGCCGCTTTCAGTGAACAACTTTCCCCATATTTGGTCCAAAAGATCCGTTTATAACCAATAATCATTTTAGGAAACTAGACCAAAAAAAAAAAGCACAAAAAATGGAAGCCATTAGGAATTGAAAACATGGTTAGGTGTATAGCTCCGTGGGAGGACACAGCTACCATGTTCAGGGGCCCCAGTTTGAACTACACTAGTGTTTGTGCCACGTCTGTTGTGTGTGGACAGCTCCATGGAGCAGCGCTCACCTGACAGCAGTGATCTGGTCCTCCACTTCATATACACCCAGCTTCCGATACACCGCATACAGGAACTTGTCACCTTGGAAAGCAGTGCCTCGGCCATCCACCAAGGCAACAACTATCCCCTCCTTACTTGCAAGATAAGTTATCCAATGAACAGCAAAGACAGACTTGACACTCTGGCTGCAGGGACCTCCATACCTAAAGGAAAAATACAAAATAATTTCTGAATTCTTTATAAAATTCAGTTTCCCACCACAGCCTAGAACTGATTCTGGCAATTCCCAGGCCAATTATGTGATAAAAATTCCAATATCAATAACAGAGCTGGCTCTAAGTCAAGAGGAGATCAGGCTTCCCCAGAGGTTTGCTACCAGGAAGTTGTTTTGGGACACAGCCTCTCCTATTCCCCAAAACGGATACATCTAGGGTTGGCATTTCAAGGAATATGTGTGGGTTTTTCGTCATTTCTGCCACCTGCCACTTGCTAAAAGCAGACATAAGATATACTAAAAAAACTGCATGGTGTTTTAAGCAAGTTGTGTGTAGGTCAGCCCTGATTTTGGGTGTGATTCCACTAAATGTATTCCATTCCTTTATTTCATTTCTAACTCAATTACATAAGATGTTAAGATGATTTACACTTTTTTTTTTTTTTGGCTGCAGTCTCTCTATCTCAAAGGTATTCTGACACATTTGGCAATTTGCCATCCCAAGGAAATTCAACACAACAAATGCAAGCAAGTCCATCTCAAATCTCAAAACTCCCTCGATCTATTTTAAATAACCATATTTTATTTACTCTGATTAGCTGGGGGAATATATAAAAACAGCATCAATAGGAACTGTTACCAAGGAGAATGGTTCATTCTATTTTATAAGTGTGTATTTCATCCAGCATATTTTCAGTAAATAGTTTTTACACTAAAGAAAATATTACATACACTTGGATTAGCAAAGGGTACTTCTTTGATCTGTCAAATTGAGGAGGAAGAATCATCTTGTACCATAAAGCTTTGGAAACAGAAAAAGAGAGAATAATTATTTCATCACAGGTATATTATTCTTTGACCATACACATCATGAAAGCAACCCATACCAGGTAAATCATTAAGAATTAAGAACATGTTTTAAATTGACCTTATCAGATATTTCAGGTCTAATTTGCAAATGACTATAAATCTCAAAATACTTTTCATTCTAGAATCATATATTCTAAAATTAAAATTAGATAATCTCTGTATTTAAAATGTCAGTGTTGAGAAGGAGCTATGAAAAAGTAGATGATCAACTGTATGTATAATCATGTTCTAATGTTTAACAAAGCTAAATATTGTTACAGAAACGTTATTTTAAATGAGAGCTTATAGCACACGGCTTGGACTATAACATTTACTCGGTAATTTTTTCTAAGTGAGAGAAGTGTTCATTTTCACATCTCTACGTGAGAAGTTTTTAAAAGGTCTTACTTATTTCACCGTCATCAAGCTTCTTAATTTCCTCTGTAGGCAGCTGGATATTTCTCAGGGCATTTTCCAATTCCTTGTTTTCTTCCAGTATTTGGATTTCTTTAAAAACATATAATGTTCGGCATTAGTTAATAGTATTTATACAAATAATTTCTTTAAATTCCTTCAGTTTATACAGACAATGCTGGAATAACTGGGCAAGGGTCTTTCAGGTACCTCATCTTGACATTCATAATGAGCTGTCTGTGCACTGTGTCCGAGTGTGAGGACATCACACTTCCATCAGTGACCTTCAGTGATCCTTACAGCCGCTATCATTTCCAACATTTTGCTGGGCAGTGGAGGTGCACGCCCAGCACTCAGGAGGTGGAGGCCGGCGAATCTCTGTGAGTTCGAGGCCAGCCTGGTCTACAGAGTGAGCTCCAGAACAACCAGGACTACACACAGAAAACCCTGTCTCAGAACACCAACCAACCAAAACCAACCAACCAATCAAATATGCAAATCAAAAGCCCATTTCCAATGTTTTGAGCAGAAACATAAAAGCAACAATACTAATTTGATCATGTTTTCTCACATCCAACTGTACTTTTTCAGTGTGAAGCCATGGAGCTGAATAGGTAACATTGTTTTAAAATTTTAGTTGACTAAAAGGAGGAAATAGAATAACCAGATCATTGATTTATCTAGGTGAAATGGTGTTATAACTGCAAACCTAATGTATTCAGTATGAGGAGTTAACATTGTTTCTGAGATTTGTGTTTGTATTTAACCTTTCCCCGTTATATTTGATTAATATAGAAATTTCTCTTTTTTGAAAGCAAATTGCTATGTACACGATTCTTTCAAAATCTTTTCCCCCAAATTGTCACATATCTCAGTCAGAAAACACTACACAGTATTGATCTGTCTCATACCTGATCAACAATCTCAAAGCTGCTGTTCATAGTCAAGAGTAGACCATCCTACCTATAATTTCAATGTTTGAGAGGCTGTGAGTTCAAGTTTCACTTGGCTCACACAGAAGTGAGTTTGAGATTAGCCTGGTCAATAGCCTAAAAGGCCCTCCCTCAGAACAAAACAAAAGTTTCTGTTCTACTTGAGCTCAGTTATATTTCCACACTCTAATGTTTCATACTGAGTAAATTAGTTGATCCTCTGAACGTTACATATTGGCAATACATGTAAATGGGTTTATATTAAGGAAGCTTTTAAAACTAAGTTTTAATTTGATACTAGCATCTTTGTGAGAAAAATTAGGCTTTCATACAATATGTAGAGTTACATTTTCTGTGAAAGGGTGAAGTAGATGACTTGTGAGATATGGTAATTGCTACAAAATAAATCCTGAAGATTTTTGTTTATATTCATTTTTAAAAAGTGGTCACCGAAGACAGTGAACTAGAGACTTATATCTACTCTGTTTGCCAAACCACTTCCAGTATCGCTCTCTGTTTTCGTATGCTCATGGTGTTTCGTTCCAAAACGTGTTATATTTAATCTTAGCACACATAGAAATGCTTTGGGTATGATTTATATAAAAGACATAATAAGTTCCACATTAGCATTGAGTAACCCATCAGAAAAGAAATACTTGTGAACTACTAGAAGTTAAAAACTCACAAAGATTAAATGCACAAATCTAAGTGAATCCAGCTTCTTCCTTCCTTCATGTGAAGTCTGTACATGGAGTTCTCCCAGAAGGGGTGAACCCTGTATGACACAAGGGTATAGAGTGGGTGATGGACTCATAGATTGCTATTCTTGTCATATGATTACAGGTTCTGGAAATATAAGGTGTTATCATATTCTATGATTTTTTAACTCTATTGCCTTTCTGTCAATTATTGAACCTTTTAATTTTATGACTTAATGAAGTGTCAGGTTTGATTGGAGAGCTAATCAGTACTTCTGTAGTTAGAGTTGTATTCTTCTGAATAGTGAACATGAAGTGGTTGTATCTATTAAAAAAGAAATAGAATTTTCTGGGCTGTGGTAAGAGTGAGAGGTGACGTCAGGATTTCTCTCTGGGGCTGTGCTGTATGAGCCATCAGTTTGTAAGGGGCGGTACAGCCTGGATCATATTCTTTCTTCTCTTCACTTGTCCTTGTGTATTTATTACTCCTCGAGCCTCCTGGGGGTCTAGCATCAGTTATGGTTATGTCTCCATATGTTTGTAGATACTTTTTAATGACAAAACTGAGTTGAATTTTAAAAGTGATAGATCTTATATTTGATTTTTGCTTGTCGTATAAAAATGCTGTATTTCATATTAATTAATTTTGTGGAGAATCTGTGGAAAATCTTGAGGTCATTCAGTTACTTAATTTAATGAGAACCTGAAATGCCCAAAGCAACTAACTTCAAATTGGCCCTCAGTGGTTAAGTGTCAGCACCTCTGGGTTTCCATAGTATCTGATTCAAATAGAATCTGCTGTTTTCAAATGACTTTTTTCTTGGCAAAGGAAATGAAGTTCATTGTTTTCCCTAAGATTCTCAAACATTCATAAAACTACCGCTAAACTCTTCTTCCTTTCCCATGAAAAGAGACTACTCTCTTCATGTATTCCTGGACCCTTCCCAATTTCTCAGGAACTTTCTTATTCTATTTCTTGGGTCAAATATAGTGCAGTTAATGTAGCCAAGTCTAGTCTGGAACTTCTGATTCTCCTCTCTCTCTCTCTCTCTCTCTCTCTCTCTCTCTCTCTCTCTTTCTCTTGTGTTGAGTTTACAGACACATGCTAAGTGCTGTGCCTAGCATTCTTTAAGCCCCTTTGGCCTCATAATTTCTTCAATTAGACTTCAGTAAATACTTATCATCTTCAGAACATTAACTTTTCCCAACTAGTATCCAACTTTTCTATTCTCTTCAAAGACATATGCAGTAAAAGCTCTGGTGGCTTTGCCCAAACAAACAAACACCCACTAATTTCCTATACAGGTGCAACTTCACTTTAATCTCATCAGTTTCTTCACTCTTCTCTAGAAACTGCCCCTAAAAAGTAATTGTCCCTGTGTCTTCTTTGTCATTTGTATGCCAGTGTCTTCTTGAGACCGCTCCTCAGTGAGTGGCAAACTTGCGCTGTTTTGGAAGGTTGTAGAATGTTCAGGAGGGCTGGAGAGATGACTCAGCAGTTAAGAGCACTGCCTGCTCTTCCAAAGATCCTAAGTTCAATTCCCAGCAGCCAAATGGTGGCTCACAACCATCTGTAATGAGATCTGGTGGCCTCTTGAAGAGAAGACCTGGTCAGTCATCCTCATCAGCTTAGACCATGAAGCCCAATATGTACAAGATCAACAGAACTGCCATAAATGGACTGCCCATACAAGCTTCAGCATTGCCAGGGCATAAATCTCACTTTTTCATTCAAAACATTCAGGAGGTAGAGGCTGTTTAGTCACTGAGAGACTCATCTCTGCCTTTCTTGCCCTTTCTCTGCTCCCGGACTGCAGGTATAACAGGGCCAGCTGCCTCAGGATCCTTCCACCATGCTTTCTAAGCATTATGGACTGTGTCCTTCAAGCTGCTTCTTACAGGGATTCAGTTGGAACAATGAGAAAAGTAACTAATACAGTGTGGAAGAATACTGTTCTCATTAGACAAGTTGGTGGATCTGTTCTCTGAAAGAATTTGAGTGGTTTCTTGAATTAGAAAATATAAAAATATATATGATGCATATAGAGAGTGGTGTAATAAAACTTCAAAAGCATTAAAAAGATTAGTATCTGCCTAGAATATAACAAGAACATCGAGAAAAAAAATGCTAGGATATAGAACTTCATTTTATGGAGGAAAGGAAGAGAAGTTATATTTTAGAGTGGTCATAAGATGGACTTTAAATATCTATGGAGATTTCCATTAAAACAAAAACTTCAGGACTTGAAAGTAGTATTGCTTCAAAGTATTGTTCTCTGAATGTTGAATATGTCTAATTAACAAATTTAATCTGTTGTGCATCAAACCATTTTGTTATTAGACACAAGGTTAAAACAACTTCAAAATGAAACTAAATCCACTGTCCTACTTCTTAATTCCCAGCCTCTTCCACACGTCTTCATTTTCACCTTTTCTTGAGCCATTAACCTGACACAAACCTAATCCCCAAGCAGTGTCCTGACTTGTCAGCCAGGCTGTCCAGGGACAGCTGCAGGCATGAGTGCTGAAGGAGAAAGCAACTGCTTGCCCCACATCACCCCTGCTCGCCAGCAACTCTGATCTTTTGGTGTTTAATTTAATGGCCAATCAGAGGATAATATGGATCCATCAGGAAGAACACCGGGCAATTATACAGTTGAATAACCCCGCGGAAAGCAAAACTGCCCATTTGAACTGTAAACGGCTTTAACCGCCTTCACGAATTCAAGGTAGAGGAGAATTCTGATGACAGCCATCAAAAGTGGAAAGCATCCCCAAATTCCAGGGATTTCACACATGGCAACAATGTGATACAGCTGTTAACTCAATGCAGAACAAACGGCAGTGCTGGAATGGCAATCCTCTCTGCTCTGAACTGAATCGGAGAAGTAATGTTTGGATTCTTTTGCCAGTATCGGGGTGATGCAATAAGAATATTATGAAGAAGAAGTAGATGGAGGAGGAGAAGGAGGAGGAAAAGAAGAAGAAAAAGAAGAACTGGAAGAGAAAGAAGGAGGAGGAGGAGGAGGAGGAGGAGGAGGAGGAAGAGGAGGAGGAGGAGGAGGAGGAGGAGGAGGAGGAGGAGGAGGAGAAGGAGAAGGAGAAGGAGAAGGAGAAGAAGAAGAAGAAGAAGAAGAAGAAGAAGAAGAAGAAGAAGAAGAAGAAGAAGAAGCTCCTCGAAAAGCAGAAATTCTTTTTTGTTTTTTGAGGAGAAAGAAAATGTGTAAATATTCTTTCTGATTCTAATCTTCTGCGGTTTTAGAAGGTCGGGGGAGGAGAGAACCGATCTCTGTGGTGCGATTTCTATTATGTCACATTGCCTCTGCCAATAAGTACCAAGCCTTAAGTGATCAGGTTTAATCCAAGCAACATCTGAATCTGTGGAATAATATACTTTATGATGACAACGCGGCTTTACAATTCCTCGTCTCAAGGTGGACCAACTGACTATGCCCACTACAGTGGCTCATGTTAGACAACTCAGGATGTCTTTAGAGGCGGGAGAGTACCTTGGTCTGTTCTGCCGTCGTGCAGGGTAGAAATGGGGAGGCCAGGGCCTGTGCACAGGATGGAAACAAAAATGTGACTTCTTTTAAAAATAACATTTCACTTTCAGCCAGGATTGCTTGTAGACCAGTGCCAACACATGTTTTAATTCTTCGGTGACTTTTTTTTTTTTTATCCACAGAGAAGCAAGCATTTTAAGTTACATTCAAACAACATGCATCATATCAAAACCCAATCAAAGAACAGATGTGGGAAAGGTCTTACCTGTGCTGCAGCTTTGCTAGGAGTAAACCTGGATGGTGAAAACCTAATTAATTACACAGGAAAACCTCAGAAGCTGAAAATGGCCTTCTGGGAAGATGTCACACGGTGTTGGACAAGTTTTAGTTGTGCATTATCAAGCAATCTTCATCAGCACCTAGGTCATATTTCTGTTGAATGTTGAGTTCATTTTGCGGGTAAAAGCTAACACCTTTTAACCTTGTGATTATTACATGTAGAAATAATCTTGCATAAACTGTATTTCCTTCTCTAATATGCTGTTTTAGGTCACGTTTTGGGGGCTAGTTATTTGTGGCACGAGGAGGGGCCATATTGAGATGATGCTTGAGGGGTTAGAGAAGGAAGGATGGGGTCATGAGGGAAGGTAGGTTTTAACGTCTGTTCCAGAGACTCGAGCCAAGCCTCCAACAAGCTCTTGAGCATGCAGCGCTATCATAACAGGGCAACACGACAGGTCCTTGTCTCCCAGCACAGAGTACAACTGTTAGATATGGCCTGTGACTAAATCAATCTCCAGACTCGGGATGTAAGCTGTCAGCTAGCAGCATCTTTCATAATGACCGATACATTCATCCTGTCTGGACATCATGCCCTACCGTGTTTTGCAAAATTTTAGCTTCTCTATGTAGAAACTGGCCACTTTAACAACATATAAACAAACAAACAAACATGCTATCACTCATCTGAAGTGTGGAGTAAATTAATAAGCAGAGTACACTTTTAAAGAGTGCATTTACTGAAGGACTCCGTGGATTAAAAAGCAACACGAATAGTTGGGTCGCTGTTCTTGCATTCCAAATACTTCCTTCTGCTTTAAGGGAGCCCCATTAGAATTGTGTCCCTGGCCTTAAATAAAGCAGAAGAAGGACTTCTCTGAGTTCTTAGAGACCTGCTTATGAATGGGGCCTTCTGGCTGGTTCCTGGCAGCTTTCTCCCTGTGGAAAACATGCTTCTGATTTATTCCGTAGAGCTCTAAGTGCCAAGCCCCATGGGCGAATCCTGGAACTCTACAACGGTACCCATGTTTGTACAACTGTAATTTGGGGGGGGGGGGCTGTGTTAGAAGGCACACAGTTTACCTCTGTCACATTCTCTGACTAGACTTTATAAATAATAAAGCTAATATTTTGATTTCCGCCCTTCCTTCTTAGTATAACTTGAGACAAGAGGGAAGAGATTTTTATTTTGGCTTTCTTAAAAACCAGCAGTCCTTATGTGGCAGTCGAGAGTGTTTGAGAAAGAATATAACTGAAAAGCTTTTCCTGAGACTCAGTGTTGCTTCAAAGCTATCAAAAGGGACACACATGCATATTACATTTGGGGCTAGAATCTAAGGAGATAAGGCAGTTTAAATCGCTCGGCTTTAACATATTAGAATCCATCATACGGAATTTTCATGGGCATATGCTTCCAGTAGTGAAAGCCCACAATTTTATTTTAATCTTAAACTAAGAGACAAATCAATGACGGGCTGTCCATGACCCAGCAGGATGAGGACATAGCCCAGTGACATGGCATCAATGCCTAAAATTCCTATTTTGTGCTGGTTTTGTCCCGCGTTATGGATACGGTTTTTTACCTGCATTAATCCTATCTTCCAGGGTTCAAGTTCAAGAGCCCTTTGGAGAGTTTGAAAGTTACATAATAAGGCGTTACTCTTAGCCCTGAAGAGAAAGATTTCAAGGTTTTTCCTATGATGGTGCAATGACTCATTTTACTGGAGCTTCAAAAACACCAGACGATGTGATGCTTCCCACACAGTGTATTTTTTGCTAAATGGGAAATTACCATACTGCCGAGGAAGAGTGAGTGGTAGAAAAGTCAGGCGATTCAAGTTCTAGAAAGGACTCTTCCATCAACTTTTGATGAGAGTTTAGTCTTTGGTTCCTTATCTATACTTCAGTGAACATTTAGGTTCAAGTAGATACTAGAGAGAAAGCTATACAAAATGTGTTAGCATGCTTTCCCCAAGAGCTGTATCACGTTATTCAAATACAGAGTGCATACCGCTATAAATGCATGTCTGTTAATGTAACACTCTTGCCTTTATCAGCAAATAGCATAGCAAAAAAAAAACCAACTATCTTGGTAGAGTTTGCAAAAGACAGTCATTCTTTTGCTGCTCGGCGATGCCTATGTGTAATGTATTAGACCCTCGTCTTCCAGTTATGAGTGGCATGACGAAAATGATGAGCCCACCCAGCCTTCCAGGAGAGAGAGATAAACAGATGCTCAGCATCCTTAGTTCAAGGATGCTGTGTGCCGGACATGTAAGCTTTTGATACATGTTACATAAATATAGCGTTTGGGTTGGGAAATGTTGCATATAACTTGAGAGGGACATTTAATGTTTACCTTTAAATGCCATCATCACAATCAGCACATATGGCCATGAACAACAATCTCTTGACATTTCAAAGATGCCACTGACCAAACATTTTATGGAAGTGTTATTTCAAACTGACATCTTGTGACATCTTGAAGGGAGCATTCGGGTTAGAATGGTTATTCATGCCTACATAGTCAAATGAGCCGTGGCTCGGGTTCTAGAGCCAGGTTCTTGGATTAAGGGATGTGACATATCGTTAGTTCTTGTTCATTATATGGGAAACCCACAGGAGGCCTCTGCAGCTGAGTAGAGATCTCAGTTGATAAAAGGTTCCATTGTTCTCTAAGTCACCTACCTGCACAGGAGTAACTGGTATCAGGAATAGGAGGAGAAAGGCGTGCACTTTGTTGTATTTCCTGCCAAGTGTGCTACCCACTTCCCTAAACTAGGGTTCTCTAGCGTGACAATTCAGCAACTATAGCATTAGAGATTCTACTAAACCCTCAGTAGTCATTGATTCCATTGGTTTATAGTGTTATCTTAACTTGTATTTCTTGTTATTTATTCGAGATAACATATGAATAAAATCAACTTATCTAGACAGCAAATAATTTGTAAAATGTAACCGTGGTCTAAACAGCTAGGAAATGCTTTTTGTGTTGTGCTACAGTGGTTCATTTGTTAATATTTGACTGAATTACTCAACTGCCTTCCAACTTTTGAGAGGAAGGAAAGAATGACAAAGATTTATTTTCTGTCCTCATTTGATACTAGAATTGGAAGGATAATTTGTCTTCACTGTGCTGATCTCAGGTTTCTGGGTCATTGTTCTTTGATACTTTTCCCACAAATGAGGCCCAAGCAGAACAACCACTTTATCAGAAAAAAAAAAAAAACGCGTCTGTTTTGACATTTCTCCTTCTGTACCTATCTGGTAGATGGTGTCTGCATGTGACATCATAGTGATGTGGAATGTGGCATCTAAGAGCGAGAAGATAAGAGGCAGCCAACTCTTGCTTCAGCCCTGACGATTCCCCAACAGAGCTACGCACCTTAGCTGGTTGCTCAGTTTCCTTGAACACAAACAAGCAAGGATAATTTTCCTATGCTGTTCATTCCCCAAGCCTTAGGCATTCGATAAGATCCATGTATATAACAGGTTCTCAAAAGATGAAAAGCTTCACACAATCAAATGGCTTGACAAGGATGATGACAATGGCAGTGGGCATGGCGATGCTTATGTTAGGTCCGTCACCTACCATAGCAGACGAGTGCATAGTACTTGGCGTTGTAGCTGAAACTTGCTGTGTAATATTGGCACCTTTCTTTCCTTAGATGGCAAGTAACACACTTCTTGCTCGGAGGAGAGTTTCCAATGCTAATTCTAGAAGGAAATGAAAATAAAGCTAAGCTGAAAATTTTGAGATTGTATTTATCAAAATGTACTACTCCATGTAAAGTGACTAATTTACATATTGACATCAAACCCACTCTATTTTTCTGTTGCCAATATCATTTAAAGTAGAGGGGAATCACAGTGTTTTGATGTAGCTTGATTTTTGATCCATTTTTGCCTGAAGAGGCACAGGATTCGAGGGAGAAGCCCTCTGTGGTTTTCCCGAAGTGGGAGAGCTGTAGAACACTCGCGATGGGAGTGGGGTAGTGGTTTCTCATAGCCATTAATTGCTTATGAAGTAGTTGGAGATCCCCTACCCCTCACCTCCTCTTTTTTTACTCCACATCAAAACATCCAAAGGAACCTGGGAGCATTACCAAGAAGGGATCTCTATTCTTTCCTATGTCTGGAAGGGGACTTTAGTAATGTGGAAATAAGAAGCCACATTCTATCTCCCTCCTGAACTTTCATACTTTCAATGGATCGTGCGGGTTTTTGGGAGCTCTGTCTGAAGACATTGTCCTTCCATCCCTCACAGGTCAAGCTGCAACTTTCCTTCCTCCACGTTCCCACACTGTGGTTCTGGAATGGAGTCACTAGTTTCAGTAAATAATAGATTTCTGAACTTCTCATCAAACACTTCATCAGAATCCCTTCTTGGGGATACTCGATGGTGTTCTGCCAAGAGTCAGGCTGTGTCAGAGCCCATTCTGGCGGCCAGGGTGAGCTCTGCCACCTCCCAAGGCTTTCTCTTCCTTCTCCCTGAGATTGCCTTGAGCATGACAGTGGGGGTCTAGAGACATGGCTGTTTTCAGAGAAGGAGGATTCCCAACTGAAAGATAAATGTGTATCCAGGTGTGAAAGAGGACGATGAATAACAAGGGTTTTTTTTTGTTTGTTTGTTTTTCTGTTTTTTTTTTGTCTTTTGTTTTTCCTCTTACAGATTCCATGCTTGAATTTTTGTGTGATCTTGGAAATAGAAAGAAGAGAGTTAACAGTAAGGGCTCAGAGGACAGCATACGCATGTTCAAATCTTAACTCCAACAATATTTTCTACTTCCTAAAAGTTATTAAAATTCAATGCAATTACAGGTGCAAATTGGTTAAGAAGATAGCTGGTTTATAGAAGAGCACCAGGAATGCTAACCACTGTTTCTATTTCTACATCCAGAAAGGAGTCTTTTGGTTCCTATTCCACCCATCAGCAGTACAATTGGGTTGACTGATATAGGGATGGAGCTGGCTATAGCAAAGTGAGCCAGAGTGGCGACCACATGGCAAGAATAAAAAGAGTATGGCACACAGCAAGCGCTCAATAAATGCACATAAAAGTCCTGAATTAGCTCCAAGTCTTGGAAATATGTGCCACTATGCAACATTATGTAGTATTTATATCATCGTTATAATTTCCTATATTGTTCTTTTCTAAAGAAAACATTTTAAGTTGGTTCCTATTGTGGAAGCATATGGCTTATATTAATATCATGTATGTCATTTTCTGAATTATTTACCTTATCTTACAAGTGAATTTTATTACATTTCAGACTTCAAGAAGCATTCTTTATCTACTTAGGGTTATGATTCGATTTCACTCGAATATCTATGCGTCTCTGTATTTACGTATCAATACTATTTTGGATTGACCTAAATTACCTGTAGATGTTTCTTCTTCCAGGGTAACCTTCAAATTCATTGCTAGAATAAAACCTGAAATGAATTTAGGAAATAGTAAGCACTGATTATTAAATGACAAAAGTGTTGCCACTAATATTAGTAACTTTGGCAAAAATCCCATTCATTTAATGAAACTGTTAGTTAATATTTATGTATAGGAATCACTGCTATAATTTGAGTTTGGGGCATTTACTGTAGTTTACAGAACATCAGAGAAAGGTAAGAATGAGCTGAGTACACTTTTTATGACCAAAATATCTTATTCTGATTCATTAGGTACGAGCCATGAAAAATGACTTATTTAGACTAATATTATACTTTTCCTTTTCCATAATGAATGTTTACTGGTTTCTCAGAACTAAATTATTTACTTTGTACATGACTAAGAACACATTTTGATTCTATTCTACCCTGGCATGTCAGGAAACTCGCCTGAGCTGGATGGTATGCAGATATCGCAGGCCATGTTTTTATTCACCAAGCTGCAGAAGAAACCACAGGAGAGCAAACTTGCTACCTAACCACCCAGGTGCAGGCTCAGTTCTGTCTTAATATAGCTATGAAGTGGAAAATCCAGTTTGGTGACATGACTTCCATTCCTCTGTGGATTTATTGGAATATCTCAAGGTAGCTGTCTTTTTTTTCCCCCTCAAGAAAAGCATAATAGAGTGTGAAAAAGTTTAGAATAAACAAGGTTTGTTTTAAGTCTCAGGAGAGCTTAGCAGTTCAGGCATCCTCAGTGTCATTTTTTTTTTTTAAAGTTCCTTAAAGAAGAAAGAGACAACAAAACACAACGCATTTCTCGCATGAAATTCGTATTCAAAACCTGCACCCGTCCGGTTTATTTATGTCTGCACTAAAGTCACCACCCTCTGGCCATCACTGTCACCTGCCTGTCCCACACCCTTTCAAACAGTGTGTGAATTACCTGTTCACTCCCCTCCCCGTGGTATTCCTCATCCTTGCTTTCCCAGGCTGTCAAAGTTTCCAGTATTGCCTTCCCCTCCAACACTGCAGCCCTGCCTGCTTTCCCAGTTGCCTCTCTCCTCTCTCTCACAGTCAGTAATAATTATTCCACCCCATCTTCCCTTTCCTGTCATTCACTTAAGAAAGATGAACTGATCCCTCACTGTGTCGGGCCTCATGTAGAGGGCACACAAAAAAGGAGGCATGTCTTTGTCTTTCTAGTCCACAGTTCATTGTCATCAGAGCAGCTCAAGCCTCGGTCACCCCAGCCATCTTATAACCAGTGCAGGATCTTCAAGCCTTTAGGGTTTTCTTTTCCTATTTCCCAAACCTATTTTGTGTGAAATCTATCTCCCGTTCATTTTTATCTCATCACTTTTCTGACTCTAATCACTTTTCTGACTGCTCTGTATGAGGACCAAACTCCTTTGACTCCCGCTCAAATAATTTCATAGAATGGCTGTAAGGTCCTAACCCTTTCTATATGGTAAGGGCAGACTAATAATTCTCTTCCTTTGCTCCCCAAGTTCCATTTAATGGCAGCCAGATTATGAGTACTGGGGGAACATATCCCTAATATAGACAGCATTAACATTGACGGGGCAAAAAAAGCAGGGACTTCTGATTAGTTAAATGCATCACAGATGACTATTCCAAGATAGTTTTCTAAGACAGTGTGTGGGATGAACAGAAAAGGAAAGAACCTAAAGAATTCCCTACTGAGGTTAACAGCAATAGTCTTGGATTCATGAACCTTAGTTCTGAAGTCTCACCTTCCACTAATGAAATGGCCTTTAGCCAAGTCAATTACCTGCTCTAAGGATCTGATGTCTCATCTCATCACCTGGGGCACCCATCCTGACCTCCCAGTCTCTGGCAGGCAGTAATCCTCCAATACCTGATGGCTGTTAGAGATATCATGAAACCCAGATAACACCAAATCACTAGAAAAGAGTCTCCACATCTGTGGGCTAACTTCTATGGGGTTTTGAAGCTTGTTCATTGCTTTAAGAGTTGCAGAATAAAATTAACCTTTAGAACCAATTGTTATCTGAGGATTTTTATACTTTCCATAAAAGTACCTAATAAAATTCTCCCCCAAAGGAAATCTTGCTGACTAGTTATTAAAGAATGCACACTTTTATTGGAATCATAGCTGTTTGAACGTAACCAGAGAGCAACAGAATGCTCTTTCGGTTAGCTGAGTAGACAGTACAGCCCATCACTTGTACATCCATTGTTTGGTGCCAATTAAAATCTGAATGGTGCATCGTGCTTGCGTGAAATACTTACAGTGAATCCTGTGTCACTCTGAATATATATATGGCCTCCCACTTGCCACTTGTAATTTGAATAGCATTTTCCTATAAAAAGACAAACATTATGTTGTGTGAAGCTGAGCGTTACTTGAGCAACCTCAAATGAATGATCTTTGAGGAGATAAAATCTTGGAAGGAACGTACCACAGTGTCTTTGATATAGTGAATATGTTTGTAACCATCCTTGTCGCTAAATATTTTGTAGTACGAAATGGCATCGTAGCTAAAAGCTGGTGTTGAAACAAAGAACTGAAAGAAATGAACAGAGGTTATATTCCAAAGGACAAACTAAAGCCACAGATTTTTTTTTTTAAAGCCGTATATGGCTAAGGATCCTAGTGCCTGGCCTCTCTTATCACCTGTCACTCATATCTGAAATTCCAAGTTTTCAGATGACAGCTTTTCCAGTGATCTAATAGGCACTTGCATGTGCCAGCTGGTGCTTGCTTGCCGCTGTGCATGCCCTCCCCCCAGAACCCCTAGCATTACACCGTCTAATCTAACAAATTCCTCTTCTAAGGTGATGTGGTTTGGAGTTGAGTAAAATGAATAACAAACCAGTGTTGGTACTTAATCAAAGCAGACTTTAAAATGAGGCATTTGAGGAAAGTATAATTCTCACTAAAACTTACAGTACTTTTAATTTTTGAACTATCTGATGCTAAGCTCCTAATGTCAACAATTTAATGAAGACATTTGAAAGAATATGATATCATGGTCTAACGGCCAAAGATTTTAGTAGTCGGGCAGGCCCAGCTCACTTGAGAGTAGAATGACTTTAGCTCTTGCTCAGGAGACAGAATAACCTTGTGATCTGAGTTTGAAGAACTCAGCATACCCTGCTGGGAGCCATCTAATTGCATTGGAACTACGAAACATTCACATGTCTTGGGACAGAACTAGTGGCAACTCAATATCCTAAGAATAGACAACTAAAATTCTGCAAATGTCTCATACCAAATTTCCATCGATCGTGTCATGTTTCTCCCCTTGTAAAATTTTGATTTGCTCTATCAAGAGTGTCATGTGTCTATCATTGTAAAAATTTTATTTGCCCTGCATTTATGGCTATTTTTACAGGTTGTCCTCCTCTGAAAGGATGATACTTTTCTGAGAAAAATCTCATGAGAGCAGAGCTCATCTATAGCATGTAAGAATACCTTGAAACCTAGTCTCTTTATCTGCTTTAAGTACATGGAACAGTAGGCAAAAGTGTTCAGCTATTTTACACTCGAGGAAAACAATAAACTCCAAAGCACAAAACAGTATCTTCTAGCTACAAACATTTGTTCCTTTCTATAATTTTTTTTTCTGAGATCAATTTCTGAAGAAAGGGATAGTAGGAAGAATCACTATGGTTTATTTAATGATCACATTTGGATGCAATCTTTCGATAAAATTATTTCTCTTATATTGTGGTCATGTGCCATTAAAATGTAATGTATCTCTTATATCTTTACTAGGTGAATAATGTTTCTCTAAATCCATTCCCACCTGGATGGAAACTTTATAGATATAATTATGGGAAAAAAAATTGAAGATGTGATCCTACTCGATTAGTGTTAGCCCTAGATCCAAGGACCACAGTCCTAATGAGGGTTAAGACACAAGGCAACATACGAAAGGGTTCTGTATCCTGGAGGCTACCTGATCAATGAATAAGTCTTGGCTCACGTTTATTCTGCTAAATGTAAATGTCTGATTTGTCTTTAAATAGTTTTGTAATAGAACGGAAAATTGAGGAACGTGAGACTGTTTTCTGTTTATAAATTCATAAGCATCCTTCATTGTAGGACCTACATTGTAGGATTTTGCATCTTGAGACAAATTACATTAAGTGAATCAAGAGGTTAAGGACTAGGAAATTAATTGGCAATTTAGTGCATGCCGTGCACTAGTATAGTATTTGAAAAAAGTTCTTTCATTTCAGAAAGTTTCGCCCTCAACTATGTATAGCAGAATTAATTACAAGGATCCTCTTTACAACGACTCCCTTGTGCCCTGCACAGTGAGAGACAATTGATGCTGCATTGTCTTAGTTACTAAAATGGAACCCAAGTCACAGTACCTTTTAATGTAACGTAGTGAAAAGTTATCCGCTTATACCTAGTGAGCTACTTAAGGGACTTTTAGAAAGATTGCATTCCGAATAAAGCTTTCATTTGTAGTGAAAATAAAAAATTAACAGGCCAGACTGTTCTGCTTTAGGATATTAGAACCAGGCAAACAGGAAGACTCTTTCTGCTAGGCTAAGTCTGTTATCTCCTCCCTTTCATTGCGCACATGGAAGACAGTTGCTTCCGATGAGCAGGTAACTTAGGGGACGTAAAGAGGGTGTGAAATATTTCCGCTATCATGCTGGCAGGGCTAGGGCCATAATGCAGTCTGAGTTAAGTGCTTCTTGCGGCAAGTCACACCTGGACCCTAGATAAGACGTTCATCTGCACTGACCTCAGCTTTAACAAGGTCCTGCTCTGGTTTCTTTGCCATGCTTAGATTTTCTGATAAATTGCTTATCTCCGTGTGAAGTGCAAAGCCACTTAAAATGTCCCACCTAGAAAGCGAGTTTACTCGTCACAGTGCTGTATAATGCCATCCTCCCTAAATGGCAAAAGATGATGCTTAAACCGAGTTAACAGTTAGTTCAAAGTACAGGTTTCCAGAGAACAAACACAAAATTCATGCTTTGGTTTTCATCAAGAGGTTTTAGCAATGGGCCAAAGATATGTGGAGCAGGGTTTAATTAGCTGCTGATAGTTTTGTTATTATGATTTCTAAATGTAAAGAACAAGAATTTAGGTTCTTTTATTTTGTATATTCAAAGGAAAAAATATTTCTAGTTAACTTCTTGTGATTTTTGCAGTCGAAATCTCTGAGGATGAATTCTAAACAAACCACTTTTTATAACTAACTATTTATTGTATACTACTAGTATGACTAGCCTTTGAAATTTCTCTAAAAACCCAATAAATATTCATTTACAAAGACTGGGAATGTAGTGTATGTTAGAACACTTGCTTAGTATATATGGCTTTTGTTGATCACAAGTACTAAACACTCACACACACACTCGTACACACACACACACACACACACACACACACACACACATTACCTAAATGACTGTGTGAATCAGTAACATACCTAGGTTTTCTCAGGTTAATTTCATTGCTACTAGTTTGATTATAGGTCAAGGAAAGCTATTCAGTAAAGCAGGTACCTTCAGAGGATGGGAACTTATTCCCCAAAGTTAACACCATGAAAATTTTTTGGCAGTTCCTCTTCTGAAATTGAGAAGTTTCACTACTAAATAAATTTCCAAAGATAAAAATTAATATGCATGGATCCCTTCTTGTACACTACATCTGATCTCAGCAGAGCAGTCAACCCAATGCAAATGCTTGCCGGATGCAACCATCGTGATGTGTGGCAGCATCCAGACAACATTCACTTATTCTCCCTTAAAACTTGATTATTTTTTTAAACTAAGTGGACCTCATATATCACTGAATAACTCTATCAAAAGCTTCCAGGCACAAGTAATCATAAATTATAATAAAACACACTTTCCTGTTTGATGCCTAACCATAACATACAAGGTAGAACACATACATGCTGTAAAACTCAGTTCAGTGAGTTGGATACCATTAAAATAAAGGAAAATATAGAAGCTCATACTCCACCAGCCCATCCTGTTCTGCTTTCTTCTATATGTTCCCGGGTCTAAAAGACAAAAGCAAGATTTGATATTAATCATAAGAACAGTTTTTTCAAAAGCATAATATGGACACTTTGAACAGTCAAGACACCCGGTCAGTGTGTAGCATGTCCAACTGCTCAGCCTCCAGTTCAGGAGACTTTATTAAATATTACAGAACAGCACTGCTATACGTGTATGGACAAATTAGCGCTGGATCTAATCTTGGAATTTTTTTCCCTTAACTCTTCCATGAGGCAGGTATTGGAATTATTGCACATGTCTGGAAGTTCAGCACAAGCCAAGCACATGGTATGTTAGAGAGAAAAAGGAATACCATAGTAAAGTCAAGGTTGTATTCTTTTTTCTCTTCCGGGGTAACTAAAAACTTAAACATTTGTAATTTTAGGTTTTAGCAAAGTGCAGAAGTATCACTTCTTAAATAAATATTTGCCTTTTTTCTAGACAAATAAAAACATTCTGAGTGGAATTAATATGTATAGATACTGTAGTAACTGTAGTGATGGACAGGAAAGTGGCCACAGTAAATTTGGAAGCAAGGAAGACACAGACATTAGCAAGAACTCAAAGAAACCTGTAAGCCATCAAGGAATTTTGCATGTCTGTGGCTAAATTCTTTGAAAGATATCACTTGCCAAATATGGAAAATAAAATTGTAAACAAGAGAGACGATGTGGAATTGGTAGTGGGTATGGTGAAATGAGGCCAAGGTGCCATCTAGAATGTGAATGTTTAAGAAATACGATAAAGACCCAGATCAAAGGTACAGTCCTGGGGATAGAGCACAGGAGATATTGAACGTTCAGATAATCAGAAATCATTTTTGAGAGTTATTGGCAAGTAGTCCTAGAAATGTCTATGTTTAAGCTATGAATAAAGATTACCTGGAGGGAGTTAAGCGGGCAGTTGTGAAAGAACCAGCAGGATAATTGGTTACGCTTCGGGGGAGAAGTGTTTTTCTGTAGCTGAGCCACATTTCCCAGTTTCCCTTCTAGTGGGATGTAGTTATGTGTTAAGGACTAGAAACAGCGTGTGAACAGAAAAGGGAAACAGGCTGTTTGCAGCCCTTCCCATATAAACGTCCCATGCAGACATGCAGACCCCCCAATCCTCTTCTCTTTGTTCCAGATGAATGTTAATGACTTCGAGTCACACATTAAGATAACAGAATTGCCATCAGCTGGGCTTCTGGACTATGTGATGGAGCAGAGGACCCACTCCATACCACATCTCATTTTGTTGGCCTTGCTCTTGGTTATATAAACAAAACATAAATTTGTATTAAGTATTTGTATAAAGTATTAAACCACCACTTCATCATTGCAATTTCTTCTTACAGCAGTGCTGTTGGCCAGCCTTGGAGATGTATTGTGTAGAGAATGAAGTTTCTATGTAAGTAGTCAGCCTGACTGCCCAAACTTGAGGATGATAGCAATGGACATGCCAAAGCAGTTGGGGAAAAGCCTACGAGGTCTTACCCCTGTACACACACACACACACACACACACACACACACACACACACACACACGAACACGCACACACGCACACGCATGCACGCACACACGCAAACTATAGGCAACTCAGAAAAGCTGGGAGCTGGAAAGGTGGACACCGATTGATTGTCCAGTGACAAGTAATCTTGAAAACATACAAACAAGGTACATTATACAGACTGACCAGGTCCTACTGAGGAATATATATGTATGTACATATGTGTACGCAACAATAATTTAGAAAAGAACAGGGCATACATTTGAAGGAAAGTGGGAAGGGGTATATGGAAGTGTTTGGAGGGAAGAAAGGGAATGTAGAATTCTAACTTATTATGATTTCAGAAAGGAAAAAAAGTTCTAGATGAATGAGACTTAACCTAGGAAAGAAAAGAACAGGGGCTGTGAGAATGGCTTCTTAGGGAGGTGCTTGCCTTGAAAGCATGATGACCTGACTTCCAGCCCTAGAATTAAATTTAAATGCCAGGCAGGTATATTGGTATGCACCTGTAATACCAGTACTGTTACCTGGGACCTGCTGGATGTTCACATGCATACAGGTTTAGGCTAAATGCTGAACTCAGGGTAATGAGAGACTCTGTATGAAGGAGACCATCAACATTCCCCAGGATGGCACCTGAGGTTGTCCTCTGACTTCTACAGTCATTTCTGAACACACATGTGTGTGCTCCTGCCCTCACCACACACACACACACACACACACACACACACACACACACACACACACAAAGAGAGATAGAGAGAGACTCAAAATAAAAGGAAGACCTTGGGAATGCATACTCTTCCAACAAGGCATGAAGACAAAAACTGTCCTAAGAGAAGATTTTGATTATCTCCTGTGCTGGTAGCTAGTGCCTCACAGAGAAAAAGAAAAGCAAGATCGGAAAAAAAAAGATTTTGAGCATTATAAGTCATGTAGATAAAAATTATTTTAGTCTACTTTTAGAGAGACAAGACTAAAATATAAGATGATTGTTCGTTAAACTATACATTTCTATTCCTTCCCTCCATTTCTCCCTCCTTCCCTACATCCCTCTTTTCTCCTTCCTTTCTTTCTTCCTTTCTTTCTTTCTTTCTTTCTTTCTTTCCTTCTTTCCCTTTTGATGCAGGGTTCCTTGTATAGCCCTGGATGTCCTGGAACTCCCTCTGTAGACCAGGCAGGCCTCAGAGATTTGACTGCCTTTGCTTCCCAAATGTTGATTAAAGGTATGCACCATCACTGCCCAGCAAGCTATGAATTTTTTAATTAATTTCACCAATATTGTTATAGTATAAATAACTGCTTCCAGCCTCTTTACCTTTTTCATGTCTGGCAACATCAATAAAATATAGAATAACTACCCACAAATATTACTGATTTTCAAAACACAAATACATTTGTCATTAGTGTGGCTGTTGGAAAATTATGGGTTTATTTAGTCAAGATATTCCAAATACAATTACTTTTCTAAATATAAAGGTGATTTTTCAGGAACCTCTGTTCCTCATTGTGGGAACTTTTTTTTTGGTTTTCATATGTTCTGTTGATTTAAGTTAAAATTGTCTCATATTTTGATAAATTATAATTTCAGATTCCAAATGAATCCATTTTTATTGGACTGTGTTTATAGTTTCCAAGCTAATAACATTAAAGCAGAGTCCATAATGCTTAGATTCAGGGAGTGTTGACAATATATCCAACCAGAGCCAATCAATCAGATCAGTGTGTTCCCATTAACTAGTTTAATTAAGATCAGGTTTTGCCAATTATACTACTTAAAACTTTCCTTTTGCTTTGTTTATAAAGACATAAATGAGATAAACTCCATGTCTAGCAAATTTTCTTAAGGTTAGTCAAGGCTTTCTGACAAGGTAACGACTTAAAAATAATTTTAGCTTAAGTAATGTTGACTAGTATAGCTCTGATACATTTCCAAACAGAATAAAATATTCTCCCTTATAAAATAAAATGTTCTAATTCCTAGATAGAATTTAATGGCTTACTTTGATTGATCTTGACTTTAACTTCATGAAATAAGTTTACTCATGTTTGGTTTAATAAAATATTTCTTCATAATTAGAACTCTCTAGAAATGTATTCAATATGTCTTAATTAAAGAAAGAATTTACTTTCTTAGTCTTTAAAATGAGTACTTAAAGACAGGTATATTTTAATGATTTTGACTCATTAAGTTCAGCAGATAATGTTTGAGTTTGAGCAATTAATTGAAGCCCGACAGCAAATTTGTATCTTACTTTCAAGCTCCCCACCTTTGGATTAGTACAGTAGGGGGCTCTCTCCAAAGATAAGTGGGCAGTGGCATAGGCTGCATAATGATCTAACAGATCATGTCCTATTAGCAGGCACCCACCTTTGATTTTAAAAATAGGCAAAATTCGAATCCCTTTTGTAATTTTTTTTCAATTTTTGACAAGATAGAACATGCCTAATTTTCATTTCTTCTTTTTTTGTGTGTATGAAACAGCTATTTCTCCAATATTCTCTAGTAATTTCTTTTATGCTTTATCTTCTTTGTTTTGCTCTGTCTACTGCTGACCTGACCATCTCAATGGGAGAATCACCATCTCAATGTCACATTGTCTCATTTAGTATTTTTCTATATTCAAATATTTAATAAAAACAGCTGCTGTGCTATGTACTCAGGATCCTAGAGTTGCTGTGAAGACGTGGCACGCTATTCTAAAGAACAATAAGCGTTTGAATGCACCAAGTCGTGTTTCACAGTACAAACTGTGGCCTATAAATAAGAAGTTCCTGTTGTGTTTTCATCTTTGGAAATAGTTGCCAGTGGTTTTAACACACTTTACCTTTGGACAGTCCCATGAGTGCCAATCTTCCCTGAAGTCACATATAGACAGGACTGAGACATTCTGCACTCTCTTTAGCCACTGCAAACATATTCGTTCATCAGTCACCCAAGTGAGCCAACTGAAATAATAGTCACTGCCAACAAACCGAAACAGATAGCCCATTATCACTTTTAAATTATAACTTCATTTATATTTTCTAAATATAAAGACAGTTGTTTTATAGGGTTTATATTTAGTAGGTAAAAAGACAAACTTTCCCAGAGAAGAATATTTAAATAGAACTGCCAGTTAGATTAAATAAGACCTTCTTCATCTAAGCAAATTATTTCATACTTGAGTTTTCTCCTCATTTTTGGCAAAAAAAAAAAAGAGTTAAGATGTAAGGGCAAAGCTCTCTATCTATCTATCTATCTATCTATCTATCTATCTATCTATCTAATCTCTCTCTATATATGGCACAAAAGTGTTAGATTTTCTATTATGTACTTGTCTATGAATTAACATTTATATCTAGAATTGCAGAACACTTTGATTTTCCATAGAGCTAGAAGGGACTTGGGGCTCAGATCCAGATCTCATAATATCCTACCACAGTGAAATTATTTAGCCATGTAGTTCTTTGTTTATATATAAAAATAATAATGTACTGATTTAAATATGTAAATATGGGCCGAGAGTGTGTAGAATGTCTCTTAACTCATGTACAATTACTGTTAGCACTAAAGGAGAATAGTATTTTAAAATAAAAACACCTATTCAAGTTTCCATTAACCAGGTTGAGTTTAACTCTGATTCCCCTTGGTGTAGCTGGAGAAGACTTAAGCCATGTAGGCAGGTGTGCTAGGCAGGTAAGGCTCTTGGAGACATTGTTTGTTTGTTTGTTTTTGTTTTTATTTTGAGACAGGATTTCTCTGTAGCTTTGGAGTCTGTCCTGCCTGCTCTTGTAGACCAGGCTCGCTCTGAACTCACAGAGATCCGCCTGCCTCTGCCTCCCAAGTGCTGGGATACAAGACATTCACCACCACCACCTGGCTGACTATCTGGTTTATAATATCCCCATGGTGCTCATAGATCCAGAAACCTCAGCTTGAGGGAAGTAGATCAGACATTAATGGAGTCACGCTGAAGTCATGATAAACTTTTCAATCTGCAAGTTGGTCCCAACTTTACATTTCTACCTCTGAGGAAAACCCCAGAAAGCTTTTGATTCATCACCATGGTCGTCTTTAAATGAGTCTTTTAAATGGGCAGGAGGGTATTTTAAAAACTAGTTTAAGAAACTTATTTGTGACTTTTAATTTGCAAGCATCTTGCATGTTAATTTTCTGCTTCTGGCATGCGCATTTTTAACTCACTAGAAAAAAGTCTAAGCTTTTCAATGTGTTAGAATTTGGTTAAAACTGAGAGACAGAGTCCGGTGGTAGCTCTCGCCTTTATCCCAGCACTCAGGAGGCAGTGGCAGGTGGATCTCTGTGAGTTTGAGGTCAGCCTGTTCTACAGAGAAAGTTCCAGGCAAGCCAGGACTACACAGATAAACCCTATATTGAAAAAGAAAACAAAGAAAACAGAAGGAGAGGGGATCTGAGATCACTGACCTTGATGCTATCATTTCTGGAACTGGTACTTCTATGGGGCCCACGTGGTGCGGGTAGGTAGTATCAACAATAAAGATACGGACAACAGGATTCTTAGCTCCAGCCTAGCAAGAAAATGGAAATTTACAAGCTAATACTATTTTTACTTTCCACCAATATTTTTAAAACATCTCTTGATTCTAGGTTTATTTTAGTAAGTAAATAATGTTATGAGTAATACAGTTGGAAATATTCTGCATAGAGGTCAGAAACTTCATTTCTATTGTACTTGCAAGGCAGTACCAATATTGTACCAATGGGAGTCAAAGCTATTTCCTGTGTCTGATGAAGGACTCGATTTACAGGAGAAATCATTGGGGTTGTCAAGGGTACGTCTGCCACCTGTACTCTGTCCTGATTTTTGAGACAGCTGTGTTTCATTATTTTTCAGATGATAAAGAACAATATACCCATGTGTTCAAAAGGGCAGGGATAAGATCTGTTTGGAAGAGAAAAGAAAGCAGAACTATATGAAACTTACCTTTTTTTTTTGCTTTTGCCAAGGATTAAATGACCAGATTGCTCATCTCCCCAGTTGCCTCACAACACACTACCGTTGCTTCCTTCCCAAAACAATCACACTAACAAGTAAAGAGCCCGTGGGCTTTTACCCTTTTCTTTGGTTTGTGTGTATTGTGCTACTATTTTCCTAAAATTTACATGACGTTATATGCCTCATGCCTAGACAGTCTCTTGGAATTGATGTTATTTTGCTTCAGAAAGAATCTTGCAGTTAAAATAAAATATGAATCCGCAAAGTTTGGGAGCACAGTATTCAATGCTTTTTGCCTTCATCTAAAGTGTGGTTCTCAACCTTCCTAATCCTGTGATCCTTTAATGTAGTTCCTCATGCTGCGGTGGCTGCCAACTGTAAAACTCTTCCCACTGCTACTTCATAACTATATGTTTTCCACTGTTATGGATCATACTGTACATATCTATGTTCTGATGGTCTTGGGCAACCTCTCTGAAAGGGTCGCTTCACTCCAAGAGGGTCGTGACCCACAGCTTGAGAATCACTAATCTAAAGGATGTTTGGTCTTTTCTGAAATTTCTTCAGTTCTTTGGAATTTTCTAATCTCGTCATCCAGCACTAAAGGTGTTAGTGTCTCTAGTTTGTAAAGAAACACGAGAACTTAGGTCCACACTCCCAGATAAGCGGCTGCCACTCCTCCATTCTGAGTGTCTTCACCTCGTCTTGCTCACACTGCTTCTCCAGAACACCTCAGTTCTTTCGATTTTGAATTCTTAAGTATCAGGGTTTTCACTTCCAAGCAACTCCAACTTTTAATTTTTCTACACAGTCCTTGAGGGGACTCCTATCTCAACACACATTTCCTATCTCCTCCCTTTTCTTAAATGGCTTTTAACATAAACATTATAATTCGACTTCTCTCTCTGGGTTGTCTTTGGCTTGTTTCAAAAGCCACTTTCGCAAATGCCACCACATCTATGCTGTCACATGTAGGGATCCACTGGAGTAATTCATGATTAGGGTTTGGCAAGTAAAAGCAGTAGGAGCTATGTATAAAAAAGCCACATTCTAAAAAAAAAAAAAAGTCTAATTCTCTTGCATGAGACAAATTTATTCCCTGATTTTTTGCTCTCATGCCTTTGTCTAAATTTAAAATAGGTAACAATGCTCCTTCCCTGTCCCTTGGCCATTCTGCTGCACACTCAGGTCCTCCTCCAGCCTTGGAACTGAATAAAAAGTGTGCATGGTATTTCCCTTCATTTAATTAGCTTAAAGAAGACACGTAGGCTCACAGACTTCACTGACCTGTCTACAAAAGATCTGATCATCTGCCTGATGCTACCTGACCAAGTCCTCAAATTCAACATTTGAATTTCCCTTTTGGGTTCGCGTTTACATGAGAATTCAAGAAGGCATTTTGAAACAGAACTTTATCCTGAATTTGGAACATAGAATGAATATATATATATATATATATATATATATATATATATATATACTAAGTTAAGCTTGTTTTTCCTCCATGATCTAGACCATATGTTTTTTTTCAAAGATTCTGCAATGGATTTTTTCAAAGACTACTTCTTCCAGCATCGCCAGATGTCCAAAGCAACAGATGTCCACATAAACAATAGAGCACAGTACAGTGTTTGCTTTCCAGTGACAAGGACAAGTAACTTTGCAAATGTGTTGATCCCACCTCTATTCATGGTAATGATTGCTCATTCTGATATCAAGGGATGAAGGCCTCTATGAAAAGTATCCGGCATACCTTTGGGTATGGAATATTTATTGTTCTAGGATACTGTCCATCACCGTAATAGGAATAGGCAATAATTGGTATGTCCGAATCGTTAAATTCTGCATATGCCAAAAATTTTCCACTTGGAGACCACCAAAGAGCATATTTTGCAGCAAGCATTTCCTCTGAAAAATAAGTATTTACATATAATTTACAACTATAGCTTATTCTTAAAATCATTGTCAGTACTTCTAGACAAATATTTATTGACTTAAATCATGTTTTTAATGTGGATGTAACATATGCCAGACTTTGGTTATTAAAAAATACTGTGAATTAAGAGGAACCGTTTAAACTTTATTCTACATCAGACGTCAATTAGTCTTGTTAGTAACTGCTGCTAATCACAAAGGCAACATTTAAAATAAATAATAAACACATTGATAATAATTAATTTTCCCTTTAGGGCAATTAAAAAATAACTTAAAGTAGCCCTAATAGGCTAAGCTACAGACTTAGGTAGACAAGATTGTCTAGTAAAGAGACAATGCCTAAAGTAGACAAAGCAGACTATAGTTTCACTGCCAAATGACATTGCCAGTGGAGGTTGAGTTTCATTCCTAAGAAGTTTTTAAAGCCAGTGTTAGTGTGTGTGTGTGTGTTTGTAAAAATATACGTATACATATATCTTTTTTAAAGAAAGGGAAGAGATAATAGATTAGAAGACCTCTTAAAATCCAATTAAGGCATGTGTACTACATGTCTCAGAATATGGATAAAATTTAAGAGAATGTCAATATAAAACACTAAAACCATTTTCCTGCTGAATTTCATAGTTGTTTACCTTGGAAAGGAGGAAGAGTTCTTCCTTAAGCCACATAAAAATGGGATAGCACATTAATTAACTAAGTAACTGAGGACCATATACGCTTTAGAATGTAAGTATTATGTACTTTATTGTAACATTCAAAAATATCGATTCCACTGGTCCCTGATAACAAGATTTTATTCTTTAAGATAAGTCACTGTCTACTTACAACCTATTAACAGTTTTCAGAAGAACAGCCACTCATAAGAACAAGATTCCATTCAACTAATTCCTACTAAATATATGAGAACATTTTCAGCTTTAAGCCTGATACAGCAGTGGTAGAAAAGAAATATAACTTACCTTCATAAACCCAGTCAGGGATTCCATTAAATATTTTATTTTCTCTTCCAGTGTGAGTTATTTGAAAAGGTGGATCTCCTGGTCTTTGTTTCAAATAAATATTGTTTTGATAGACATATGCCTAGAAGTGGTAGAAAATTAGTGAATAAGTGAAAAATCTCTATCAAAAACAGTAAAAATTTTTATTTAATTATTTACCTAATTTGTCTTTAAAGGGCTGGTAATTCAAATGCAAAAGGATCACAACTAAAATAATCTAACAGGTTAAAAAAATGTAATCAACTTACATTAACATTTTATGATTTTAAAAACCTTCATCAAATAAAATAATTTCTACTGTAAATAATTATTTCATTATCCAACACATAATTGTGCATATTGACAGGCAGTCAAACAAATCCCTGAATATTAATAGCTAGCCAGATCTATTCTTTATTTAGAGTCCTTAAATAAGAGATTGGACAAAATTTCATGTTGTCTGAAGCTAGTCTGGGAAACTTGTGAAAACCATATTTTTCCTGCGTTTTCTGGCACAACGCGTTCTGGCTGAGTGTAAGGATAAAGTTTTTGAGTGCGATATTTAAAGAAGTCTATCCATGAGCTTTGGATTTTGCGGAATTCTCAAACGGGTTTCAATTTATCCAAACTCTTCCCGTTTTTAGCCACTGAAATAGTCATGATGTATCTTTTTTTTTTTTTCCTTTTAGGCAGGGAAATTTAACAAAGGCCAAAATAAAATGGCTCCTTTTTTATTTAAATGATTAAACACTTCTATAATCTAAACACTTACTAATTTACTCCCAACAGGCGACCAGCATAGATACTGAATTGGACGAGGGAGCTCATAGCCTCTCACAAATTCCCTAGAAAGAAAGAAAAACAAATATATAAAAACACAATTCTTGGCATTCAATATTTTAAAAAATCTGCTTAAACAGAGTAAGTAAACAAACCATTAAAATTAAGGACATCTGTAAGAAATGTCCTCACTTCTACAAGTACAAAGGAGGAGTACATGGGAATCAGGTACAATAGCCATGCACAGTGATGGCCATCCTCCCATTGGTTTAAAAGCCACCTAACTTGTCTGTTTTCAGAGCTTCACAGTGACTAACACACCCACAGAGTGGGCCATCTAGACAGCATCTAACTGTGAGACACGGAGAGATGACAATGGCTTTTACAAACTGCATTGCTGGTTCCTGGGCAGACCCCAGATAAAGCTCCAGTCATTTAACCCCTGAGACTGTAAAATTTGCACACAGCAGACTAAGATGGTCGCCGACGTGCCTTCCAGCTCTGAGTTTCTATAATTGGGCTCAAGTTTAATATGTGCTCTTCCACATCCTCATTCACAACCCCCAACTCTGTGAATGCATATGAATTTCAAATTTTTGAAAATAAGATGCCATTTGACAATCTCCCTAGGGATCTGACTTGAAATCAGAAAAGGAAAGGAACAGCTGATCTCAAGCGAAACTGAAAAACAGATCGTATGCTGGGCAGTGTGCCGTAAGCTTGCAAAGTTCTCCACCCGTGGGGAAATTTCAGATAGTCTATTGGCCAAAAAAAAAAAAAAAAAAAAAAAAAAAATCTTACTTTGATGTTTAGAGTCCTTTTGCAAGCTTCAGCTATGTGAATCGCGTTGTGGAGTTCTTGTAGCTTTTCAATAAGAACACATTATGCCCTAGAGAATCCTAAGCTGCCGTGCTGAAAGTTTCGCTACTTGACCATCAGGGCTGGTTTTGTGGGACAGCCTAGCAATATCTACTCCTAAGACCAATTTGAAGATATTCAGAAAGACCCCATTTCCTTTTTGCTTAAATCTCTGTCTCTTGGGCCTCACATTTGTCTGTCAGTTCTATCGTTCCCCTTTCCCTCACATCTGGACACCTGCGAAGACTTGCTATGCACTTTATCTTGTTTGAATTTATTATGTCACAGAGAACAATACCTAACACCGAGACAAACATTTGATAGGAAAATGTGATGCTCTTGAAAGAAGAAGATTATGACTTCTGGCAGCCAGGGGTCAGTACATGAATTACCATGCACATGAGAAGTCAAGGATATATGGAGAGGTAAGGACATAGTTAAGGTAATGGCAGAAGCCATTCTTCATCTGGTTTCCAGTTATGTATGAAGTTAATGAGGGTATTCTATTTGACTGACATTGTAACCCTGCCTAAGTTACAATACATTGTAACTGCCTAAGGTACAGAAAAAAGCCTAACTTTTCTCTATGGAATACAGTTAAGGCACGCAATAGCATAAACAATTGCAAGATGCAAATCCAGTTGCATGTCTCTTTGTTACTGGAAAGGCACTTGAGCTGTCATTTTGTACTTTTATGCATCACTGATGCCATGAAACATGGAGAAAGGGGATGTTTTATAAAAGCTCTCACCATGAATTCCCACCTTGCTTTAACCACAGCTATCTTTATTACTCCGTACTAGACGTTTTTCTTAAATTTATTAAAAACTTTTGTTAATTTTTTCATACAATATATTTTGAGGATGTTTTCCCTGAGATCCTTTCTACCATCCAACTTAATATTCTCTTTCCCTTTCAAAAAAGACCATGAAAATTAAAATGAACAAGTAATGGACAATTAAGATTTTAAAAACCAAAATAAAACAAAAAGTCCCTAACAGCAACCACAAAAACTATGGAATTTGTTCTGTGTTCAATTACCCCTGTGCATGAGGCCCACCCTAGAGTGTAGTTGATATACCCCAGTGACACTTCATGGAGAAAAGGGATTTTCTTTCAGTGTCTGTGGGTATCAATTACAATAATCTTACTGAAGTCATTGTTAAGATATTAATAATCATCATTTTATTTGGGAATGTTTTCATTTGGGTGCTTTTCAACTTGTTAAACTTCAATATCAAGTATTTTTAAGTGAGTGACAACACATTAAAAACAAGAGCCCGATTAAGGCCTGAATAAAACTGGTCTGCAAGGCTACAAATCCCAGACTGAAGGGTTCTTAGGAGTAGGGTTGGTTCTCTCCTCTCATTTGCATTTTTCCCTATATGCTTCTCGGGCTATAGAGCTCTGTAAATACTTTTTGCCTTTAGTGGTGATATTGAAACAGAAGGGAGACTCCAAATCCATTAGGTCAACTGAGACTATGTTTTAAAATCCAGGTCTTGCTTCTTTCCTGAACGTTTTTTTTTAAAAAAGGAGGTGACTTTTTTAAAAAAAAAAAAAATTTATTTTGTTCCTTGCTAAACAAAAGGGGAAATAGCCCAGAATAAGCTTTTCAATACTTCTTCAAGACATATAATTATCCTTACTTTTTATATAATAGTAAAGAGGGTATCATATTAAGATGAGTAGCTAAACTAATCCATTTCCTCAATTAGCCAGAGTGAGTTGTCTGACTTGCAAATCTGATTGTGTCATTTCCTATAAAAACCTTCAATGGTTTTCTTTTGTCTTCAGAAACAGATCTGAGCTCTTTTTAATGGTTACCTAGCTATTATTGGCCCCTGTTTCCAGACCCCAAGTCTTTTCAGTATTGTAGACCCCACCCCTAGTAGGCAGCCCTACTGTAATCAGTTGACAGGAGATACTTAAGATTTTTTTTTTTATTAGCACTTTGTGTTCTCTCTGCCTGAACGCTATCATATACGCTCTGTCTAGAATGCTGCCCTTCAATGTTCCTATACATTCATTTTTTTTTCTTTTAAATAGTGACAATTTATGTAGTTGGAATGCACATAAAAATAAAGAAACTAATATATAAATAACAATCCCTATTCCTTCTATAATTGAGAGATAATTAATGCTTTAAAGATTGAAATAAGCATTTTGAAATTTTAAAAGCAATCAGTTTTAAATCAACGAATAGATTGTGTATCCAGACAATGATTGTTGCCATACCTCCTATCTCAGGCCTCATTCTAATGCAGTGGTCTCCTTCCTTAATATAGTTTCGTGCCCATGCATTTAAAAAAAAAAACTCTTTTATTACACATTTTTATTTCCATAAGTAGAACATCTATATTTTTTAAATGAGAGAAGTCAAATATATTTTGTAAATATAACACACAATAGTAGTCTAAATCATACTATATCATAGCTATATCATAGGAGGGTTCTCCTGTTTTGTGGGTTGACGTCTATTGCAAACTACATGCGTAATATCAGTAACAAGATAATGTAGTCTTAAACTCAGATTGGAGTTTGAAGTCTTAGAGTTAAGCTACATTAATAGTTAGTGGTGCTTTACCCATTTCGAAGGTCATAGATGTAGTATGTCGCTGTGTATGAGTATCGCCAAAGCTGTTAGGAAGAGAGGCAAAGACAGAGGACAAAGTTTTAGAGCTCAGAAAGCTTATTCAAATAATCCTATGTCATGACAGATTCTCACTGGGCCCTAGGGGAGATGTGTTTCTGTGCACACAGGGTTTTGTTTACTTTTACTGTATACTTTTGTGCGGTTTGTTCAGGTTCCAGAGGGCACCCCAAGATGATCTAAGTTTTACTCCATTAAAAACATACCCAAAGTCATTTTCTAGTATAAAAAGCTATCTTTGACATACTTTGTCTTTAGAATAAAGGAGGACCCTGATGATGCTCATAGCCTCTAGCAACTGCCTAGAAGGAATTTCACCACACAGCCTGTTACAACACGTCTTCCTTTCTTTGGGTATATATATTTAAACCATATAACTTGAAAAATGAATAGGAGAGTTTAGCTTAACAAACTTTATATTCCTCCTGAACAGAGCTACCCTTCATCTCCTTGAGTGCATGCTGGGATTAGTGAATATTGCAAGCATTGTTCTGGATTCTGTTTCTTAAAGGACTTTCAATCTCTTGACAAGCTCCAGCAGGCTAAAATGTGTATTTCTGAGGATTCAGGTCACCAGGGCTACTGAAGAACAAGCCCTGTTTGTGCATCCTGGTAGCGGCCGAGTGACTTCCCCATTGGAAGAGGAAGGAAAGCTTGGCAGGGAGCTTCATCCCAGGGAAGATCTGAAAAATGTCGTCAAAGCAAAAGTTCCTTTTCTCTTTTTCTTTTCTTTCTTTCTTTCTTTCTTTCTTTCTTTCTTCCTTCCTTCCTTCCTTCTTTCTTTTTTCTCTTTTTTTTTGATTAAAGCAAAGGAACTGCTAGAATTTGGATTTGAATGTGAGTTTCTTATGCTTTTGTTACATACGGAGAAAAGAAGTGAGATAACTATTGACTATCTACCACTTATTCATTCAGGAAGAGAAAACTAACTACCAGTAACCCCAAAGGATTAGACTCTCAAATACACAAATCTGAGGCCTCTTCTATAGTATATTGACTATAAACTTCTTTAATATATAACTTCATATATTACACCTCGATTCTTCCATTTGGAATTGCAATGTAGTTTTGTGAGATTAAAATGCACAAGAATTGTCTAATGAATTATGATGATAAAGACTTCTAGAGAGACCATAATAATTGTTCCCTTTCTGACGTCAGCATACCCAACTGACATTTTCTTACCTCAGTTTAAAATAAAATGGTTTCTGTTACTTGATAATTAGTTAATGAGACTAATGAGATGCAATGTCAAATTATAAATTATTGTGTACATTTCAGCAATGCTTTAGGATTCATTTATTGCATGCATCATGATTTATTGCATGTTTAGAGATAGATATATACTTCTACTGGTAGGAGCCCCCTCCCCTAGAGTCACTAAATTTTCTTACTTTAATATACTAACTTGTATGTTAATGGGATAAATAATGTATGTGTATATATATATATATGTACATATCAAAATTAAGTACTTTATACCTTTGAATAATCACTTTCTAGATATGCAAATTGCCGATCAGGTGACAGACCATAATCTGAAGCATTCACACTTTTCTGAAATTATGAAGAAGTTGGTTAGAATATAGAAGAAGTTGCCTGATATAAATTTTTTGTTCTTAAGGAGTATCACATTATTAATATACTCAAATGCAATTTTTAAAAACAGATGCTAGACCTAGTACATATAAGGGAATTTACCAGACACTATGGGATGATATAATAAAAAACCACAGCAATTTCAAAAGCATATAATATTAAACTTTATAAAGAATGACAGTACAAATTAGCAAGTTATAAAAGTGATTCAGCATAGTGGTGCAAAAGCATTAAGGGAAGAACAAAGGTATTGAAGAAGAGGATGATTGGTTACAAGGACTACAAGGATATCCTGCAAGCTCAGACTTAAGACCAGGTCTTTATGGGTAGAGATGGAGGAGGCTGGAGAGTCCAAAAAGAGAGAATATGAACCAAGCATCATAGCTACCATCCACTGAACATCTAGTCTATGTTAAGCAATATCCTAAGCAAGTTTCAATGTTATTTGATTTAATTTTTATATTAAACTAAGGAAGTATTATTGCCCTCACTTTATAGTGGAATAAATAGAGGCATTGCAAGTTGGGGTAGTGTAGTAACTTATCCAAAGTTTCTCATTAGTGACAGGAGTTGAATCTCAGTTCACTTGACTCTAGGTTTCTAATTCATATCTTATGCTATGTCACTTACACAGAAGGAAAAGATACTATGGGGGAGAGCAGAAGATGAGGGCAGTGGTTCGGTATGTCTAGAAGAAGGCACTGGAGATGGAGGTGGGAAACGGTTGTAACCCCATCACCACTAAGAATTTGAATGTGGTCTTGTGTCGGTGGGGTGCTTGCCAAGGTTCTGAGGGAGTCAAACGATGCTGATACATACCATGGTGCTATTACTCAAAATGACATATGATTCTCCTGTTTCAATATTATAAAACACTATGTTATCATCCGCAGACTGATGGAGATATTCTTGTGCTTTACATGCAAAAGAAAGCAAAACATAAAATGATGGCTCTTAAAGAAAATATTTGTAACAAAAGATCCCCTTCTGTTCCACAGATAATGCCTCGCCTTCCTCCCTTTCAGCACAGAGAAGCTGGTCACAGGAGGACGAAACTGTGCTCTTTTTGCATCTCATAAAGATGGCACATTTGCTAAATGGCACCCATGGCAGCCCTTGTTAGAACGGATTCAGGGTGCTCAGAAGGAAAATGTCATCTTCTCTGAGCTACAAAGAGGACACACTAGATTGAAATGGTGAGTTTCTTTTGTAACACTGAAAACAAATCTTATTTGGGCTTTGTTTTGATTTACTGTAACTGATACTTTATATGAATTTTCTAAAGGGAAAAAAGGCAATATTCTACCTTAATAAATGAACCTTTATTTGCACAAGTATAATGCAATCTCTTTGATCTTACCATTTCTTTGGTTAGATCTTTGACCACGCTCTAATCATAAAAACTAGGAATATCAATTCTGTAACACTTAAAGTTTATTTTTTGTCAGGGAAGGAACTGGCTTGCTCTTAGGTAATCTAGATTAACAATAAACTCCACCCACCCCCCCACTTTGGGTAAAATTCTCTTGACTTCGAAGAGAATAATAAAACACCAAAATAAGGCCTGCTTCCTCTCCCACAAGCAACTTCATTCACTGACAATATCCCACACAGCATTCCTAACTTTTGCTTTTCTGCTAAGATTCAGGGTAGCTTTATACCAATTGTGCAAGCCCAGATTGAATGGTGGTGCAAAAGGTTCTCTGAATCTTCTGAATAATCCGTCTCTGCTCCCTTCAAGTGATGAATAGCAGCTCCAGCTATTGTAAAAGTATCTTGGCACTAACAACAAAAAGAATGTTTATTTTATAAACCTCCAGAAGATAAGACATGATTCATTTACCTGAAATCCAGTTTGGGAAAAATGTTTTATATGAGAATGTTCCATTTAAAATATCCTTCAGAGTGAGAACTCTCCTTGTGTTTCTTTCGGGGTTCTGGTCTTAGGGGAGGAAGAAACATATTATTAGAAACAAGGTTAATAGCCCAACTAAATTCTAAGCTTGTCCTTCATCTGTTCTTTCTCAGGTGTGGATAGGTTCTGCCATTGCAAAGTGCCTGTTGAACTACTAAATGGTGTGTTTGCTGACAGGCAACCCAGACTTAGGGAGTGCACTAGTGGCCTGGGAGGGATAGGTGGGGGTTGTATAGAGGAAGGAGAAGATTTCGGGAAAACAGGGATTTCATCCAGCAGTAAAAATAAAACCTGTACAGGACTTCTAGGAAGGGAGGTGAGGTTCCAACAACTCCGGACCTTACAGAAACAATCTTGCTCTGAAGTACTGCCGAACTTCACACAGCCTACTCTGTCTCCACAGAGTTCGGCAGTACTCCCTCGCTTGTGAAACCTGGCTTGGTTTCCTATTCATTGTTCAATGATGCATTTTAGAATCCCACTCGGATGAATGAGATCAGCCAGAATTCTTACCCTCTGAAATCTTAAGAAGGGCCGCACTGAACACACTTTTCTTAGCCCTGATATAAACTTTTACAAAAAGAAACAACCAGGAGCACCACATTAAGTGTCTTAAAAATTTATGTAAATTTGTGGAAAAACCAACCTTACATAGCTCACAAACCACAGGAAAATTTCTTTTACACATGAATCCATCAAAACAGTTGTATTTTTAAGCATGAGTTTATTTCCTCGGAAGCTCAGCAGAGCCCCAGGACTGTCAGGTTAAGCCAGATGGGCAATAAGGCGATGCCCTCCCAACATCTCTTCATGGCCCTGCTGCCCCTCTCCCTCCATCCCACGTGCTCCTTCTCCAGGCCACCGCTTAGAACCTCAAAGTTACAGGAAAGCCCAATACCTCAAAATAGCATTTATGAGTCTGGCATTCGCCCAGGTGAAAATAAAACTGTTGAAGATGAGAACCATAATATTATCCTTCTGCTAACAGTCTTGCATAGCTCGCCGTGACTCTCATTATAAAGATAAAAATTCTAAACATGGACTACAGGTCCAGGCAAGTCTGGAACAGCCTTTGCTATCAATCTTTCCTGCTCCTCCATCATTATAGTCTTGAGCCCAAACATGCTGGGTTTTATTTCCAGCCCATAACCACCTGTATGAGTCCCTTCTCTGTTGCTGTGATAGACTGCCCTAACCAAGGCAATTTAAGGAGGAATTGTTTCGTGGTTCCAAAGGAATAAGAGTCCATCATGGCAAAGAAGGGGTGTGGCAACAGGTTACAGGTATAGAAAAAAGAGCAAGTTGCTGAGAGCCCCCAGTTTTAAATGGAAGCCTGAAGAAGGAGAGCAAAGTAGAAATGGCACGAGGCTTAGTCTCAAAGCCTACACCCCGCCCAGTGATGTACTTCCTCCAGCCAGGCTGTATCATCTAAACCTCCTCAAGCCGGGCCACCGACAGGGAACCATGTGTTCAAATGCAGGAGACTGTGGGGGAACTTACACCACCTCTGTCTCCTTGCGGGGCTTCTGTACATCTCTCGCAACTCGCCGTCTTTGTCTCACGATTTCTATTTAGGCTTAAATGTTTGATTTTAGTCTTCTACTTCTGAGAAGCCCTTCCTGACCCTCGCATGCAAGTCAGCTTTCCTTTTCACAATCTCAGTGCATAGGCCACTTTATTTTAGAGAAGCTAAGTTTGAAAGTACATGTACATTTGTGTGACTAGTCTATTAATGGCTTTCCAAGTTCTATTATACCATGCAACCCAAATCGTTGCCATAAGTCTGGAAATTTTGATTGCCATTGCATTTTTTTTGATGTCTAATAGACACAGACATTTAATAAGCGAGTGCTTATTAAATTACATAGAATGAATGTATACGTGAAATGAAGGATGGATGGAGGCATGTAAGTATGAGTGGGTGGGCATATACTCTTCCATTAATTCTCTATATTGCTTTGGTGAATCTCTGCAGCCCTACTTTGCGCACATAAAATACAAGGGATCTGTCCACACAATACTGGCAATCCCATTCAGTCGTACTAGACTACACTAGGAAATGCGGGGCTCAGTTTGCTTTATTTACCTTGAAGTAACAGTCATATATGTGTGCCCTGTAATCACAGCTAAGTTGTTAATTGAACAGTAGCATCCTAGGCTCTTTTAATCTATTCCTACTGATGTGCATATGGTCCACAATCTGATTATGACCATGGGTTTGGTTATTGTGGTGTTTTAAAAGGAAAATGTTCCCCATAAGGCTCAAGTACTTGAATACTTGGTCCTCAGCAGCTGGCACTGTTTTAGAGATCACAGAACGTTCAGGATGTGGACCCTGGTGGGAGAAGGTACTTTACTGGGGAGGCATTAAGAGTTTATAGCCCCAACTTGCTTTCAATTCCACCACCCTTGCTTCCTATATATGAATGGGATGTGACCAGTCAGATGTTGAGCACCCTGTTGTATTCCTTTCCCTTTCTTCCATACTTCTTTGAAGCAGAATCTCTCTCTAAAACTGAAGCTAGACTGTCCACCCTCCTGTCTCCACCCTCTACAATACCTGGTTTCAGATACACAGGATTATACCCAACTTTATTATTTTTTTATGTGAGGCTTGAGGATTTGAACTCAGGTCTCCATGATGACAGAGTAAGCTGAACTGTCTCCTCAGCCCAAAAGTATTCTTTAAATACCCCTGCTGTGTTTGTGTGTGTGTGTGTGTGTGTGTGTATGTGTGTGTGTGTGTGTGTGTGTGTGTGTGTGAGAGAGAGAGAGAGAGAGAGAGAGAGAGAGAGAGAGAGAGAGAAGGGGAAGTCACAAGTTGATGCTGAAGCTTTCCTTTATTCTCTGCCTCGTTGTTAGTGAACCTGGAGCTTGCTGCTCTGGCTAGTCCCCAGTATCCTTCTGCCTCTCTACCACAACACTGGGGTGGCAAATGCTTGCCACCAGTGCCTAGCCTTCATGTGGGTGCTCATGAAGCAGACCTGGCCCTCCTCTTTGTAAAGTTATCTAGTCAGCCCATCAGTAAATTATCTAGATCAGTGTTTCTCAAGTACTTTGATCCCTGGGCGTTTTTGTTTCTGTTATTGTTGAATCTGAACTAAATCACAGTTTTCTCAATGCCGAGCTAGCTGAGCCTATGATATAAACAGTGAAAGCACACTTTTTTTCCTAACTTATCAAAATGCATCAGTCACTCTTGGAATTCTTTGGCTATTGTGCAGCTCCTGAACTAACATGTTACCATTACTGTTGTAAATAAAAGTAGTACCAATTTGGCATATATGGCCAATTTTTCAAAGTATTTTAAAGACCTAGTCATTTTCTTTTTTTTTGTATGATTATTGGTCACCTGGTATTTATTAGATTACGATACAGAAAGGTTGCACTTGATAGAATATTTCCTATGATTTAGTAGTTAGTCACTTATTCACGTGGGCACATAGTGGTTACAAATGCCAACAATCTATTTAGAGAAGCTAGCATATGTCATATTATGGCTCAAAATACCAGTAAAGTATTTAAGTAGTATTACTCATGCTCTTCATTGCCAGAATGAGAATAGTACTTACCTCCAACCAAGCATGATGCACAACATATGTGTGCAGATGAGGGATAAGGCTCATGGCATAAACGGAGGTAGGAAGATCATTTCTAATCTCATGGCTATGTTGATATTAGGCTGGGTACCACTACATCCCTCCCTGGTGGAGTAGGGGGAGGATTTGAGGTTTCTTTTGCTGGGATATACCAAGCATCTGTAACTCAGTGGATGCTGGATCTCTCCTCTAGGATGTTGCATCAAATTACGTTAGAGTGTAAATAAAACAATAAAGATTGTGTGTGTGACGCTCACTGCACCATCCACTGGCACCTGCCACCTAAAACATCCTTGGTGGAGCTGTGCCACCGCATCGCGGCAGTATTGAACATGTGTGTTTTTCATGTTCCTTGAGGCATAGAACTCCAACCATGAAGAAAGATGTCATGCTTGATTTTTATGACTAACATGTGCCCTACACAAAGCAGAAACACAAGAAATAGCTTTAGGTGGAAAAAAAAATTAACTGTGTTTACTGTGTTACCTTGTTTTTGATAATTCTCCCTCAAAGATATACCCAACCTTATTTTCTATACTCTAGTCTATATTGTAATTATATATTAACACTATATATATATATATATATATAAAATCTTTTACTTTATTTAAATATTTACCCAAATTTGGTCCTTGGAGTCTTGTGGAATGCTACTTAAAAGCTAGATTTCTATGCTAGTTAGCAGAGGTACTCTGGAGGCTGAGGTAAGAAAATAGAAAGTTCAAGGCCTGTCTAGGCTACTGAATGTTTTCATGGTCAGCCTAGTCAACATAGTGAGACACTGAGTCTAAATAAAAACATAAAGAATAAAGGGCCATGGCTGAACTCTTGCCTAACAAGAACAATGTACGGAGTTCACTCTTCAGTACTGCAATGTACAAAGAAAATGGTTTTCTAAAACCCAACGCGGCCACTTCTGTTTATCATTCTAGGGCCAGGAAGGTTCAGGCAAGGGAATTTTTATGACTCTGTGGCTAGCCTAGGCTACAAAATGATTTCCAGGCAAGTTTGAGTTACATTGTGAAACTCTGCCTCAAACAAAACAAAAGAAAACAAAACAAGTAAGTAAACCCAAAAAAACTGAAGCATGGAAGTCAATACAATTAAAAAAAAGATTTTTCTCAAATTCAAACTCACTGAAGCAGAGTCTCTGGCTGGGGTCTGGTAGGGTAACTTTTTCCATGTTTCTGGATGATTCTTATGTGCTTCACTAAATCTGCTCTGTTAATGTATCTCTTCACCCATCATTAGATCTGCTTCCTGCCTACAAATTCCTGGGAGCTTGTAAGGCTGTATAGCAATCTCCATGTTATGGAGAAGAGCTACCACCAGACCACGCAATGGCTGTGACTCTCAGGAGATGTGTATGGTCTCTTTCAACATTTATGTTCCTGAGCATCGCCTGCAGTGGACTTTTCCTTCGGGCAT